CCGGGGACCGCGGGGCCGGCGGCGCGGGCGCGGGTGCGGGAGCGCGGATCCGGAGGCTCCGGGCCGCGGGCGATCGGGCCGGGCAGGGACTGGGGCATGGGGGCCGCCCTCCGAGGGGATCGGGGCCGCCGCCGCCGCGGTTGCGGCGGCGACTGAAGCCAGGAAGCGAAGAGGGGGGCGGGGAGCAGCCGCCGCCGCCCCCCGGAGGCGCTGGGCCCGGATCCCGCGCCGAGCCGGCCAGCGTCCCGAGCCGCCCAGGTAAGGTCCGCGGCCCCTGGCCCGCCCGCGGGGTTCGGCGGCCCGGCCCGGCCTGCGGCTCCCCACCCCCACCCTCCGGTCCCCTCCCGCCGCCGCCGCCTCCATTTGTTATTTCCCGATCGCTTCCCCACTGCGGGCCCTGCCTGGCCTGGCTGGGGCGCGCGCATGGGGCGCCCCAGGCCCGGAGGCTTGGGGGAGGAGGGGTCCCCGGAGTAAGGCTGACGGGGCCGAGGGTGGCCGCGCTCGGGGACCGTGGAGGAGGACGTCGAGGTGGAGGGCTGGGGGGAAACCGGGTGCTGGAAGGGGGGTTCGCGGCGAAGCAGTAGGGTTTGGAGAGGTGCAGCGAGGTGGGGCGCGAAGACCCACAAACCAGAGCCCGGGCTGCGGGCTTTAGCGACGGAAAGGAAGTGGGGACCGGGAAAGGGGTGTGGTAGGTGGACAGAGAGGGATTCTAGCTGCTTCCGAGAAATGGGGTTGGAGCCGGGGACCAGAGGATCGGAGAGGATCCGGGAGAGGCCCACCTTGGAGAAGCAGAGCCCCAGGTTTTCTGGGTGGAAGTGGGAAGGCCCTGTCTTTTGTGACTCAGTTTTCCTTTCCCTATTACAGGTCACCTCTTGACCCGTTTTGCCAATCACAGACATAGTTACTTCTTGAGAGAGGGTCTTGGGGCTCAGTAGTGTGGATCCTTCTAAAACTAATGAGGAGGACAGGGACGCTGAAGGCGTTAGGAAGAAAGGGTTTCTGGGAGGATGAAAGAGGAGAGAATTGGGCAACCCTAGGCATTCCGAACAAGTTGTGACCTCCACCCTGAAACCTCCGAGTGCCTGCTGCCCCTCAGCTGCGCTGTCTTCAGAGGTCTCCCTTTGTGGCTGGGGTAGGTCCCTGGGGTCCAGTCTCTGGGGCGCTGCTCTAGGAGGAAGAGCTGCTTCAGCAGCTGGGGTGCTGGACCCCTGGGCTGCTCCCTTGTGGGGCATTTTTTTTGCCTTTTTGTTGCCATGGCAGTAATTAGGGGATGTCCAGTAGGTGGAGGTTTGGGACTGGACCTGGGCTTGGGATGAGCCCTAGGGATTCTGGCTGGGATCTGGGGGGCTGTGGGTAACAGTGGTCAGGGTTTTCCCCACGGGATGCATCCCTGTCTAACCAGAGGACTGTTGGACCAGGTAGACATGTCACCTGCAGGTCATTTGTGTCTCTTCAGACCCCTGCACCTAGCATGGTGGGAGAATGAAAATGTTCTTCAGGTTGTACCGTATTGGGGTGGGGGTGTGTGTGTGTGTGTGTGTGTATCTCATTACCCAGTATGGGCTAGGCCCTGCGTTGAATCCCCAGGACTTGGAAGACAACAAAAACCAAGCTGTATCTTTTTTTTTTTTGGTACTGGGGATCAAACTCAGGACCTTGCACTTGTGTGTTCTTTTTTTTTTTTTTTTTTTTTGGTACCGGGGATCGAACTTGGGACCTTGCGCTTGCAAGGCAGGTGCCAGAACCACTGAGCTAAATCCCCAGCCCAAGGACCTTGCACTTGTGAGGCAGGCGGCGGCACCACTGAGCTATATCCCCGGCCCGAGTTATATCATTTTTGACCAGTATATTCCGGACTCTGCCTCCCTTACTGTGTTTCATACACAGTAGTATTTTTGCTTCTTTGAACTGTTTTTTTGTTTGTTTGTTTGTTTCTTTGGTACCGGGGATCGAACTCCAATCCTTGGGCTTTTGAGGCAGGCGGTGGAACCACTGAGCTAAATACCTGGCCCCAAGTTATACTTTATTTATTTAGTTTTGGTACTGGGGATCGAACTTGGGTCCTTAGCTTTCAAGGCAGGCGGTGGAACCACTGAGCTAAATCCCCGGCCCCAGTTATACCTTTTTAAAAAAATTTGTTTTGTTTTGTTTTTTGGTATCAGGGATTGGACTCAGGTCCTTGCGCTTTTGTGGCAGGCAGCAGAACCATTGAGCTAAATCCCTGGCCTTCTTTGAACTGTTTTTTTCATTTTCTTTTGTTGGTACCAGAGATTGAACTCTTGTACTTGTGAGACAGGCATGGGACCACTGAGCTAAATCCCTGGCCCTGTTCTTCCATTTTCTTAACCTCGAATTCTTTGATTTTTTGATTTTGTGTTTTGGTTTTTTTGGTACTGGGGATCGAACTTGGGACCTGGTGCTTTCGAGACAGGCGCCGGAATCACTGAGCTAAATCCCCAGCCCTCTTTGGTTTTTTGAAACAGCATCTAGCTGTATAGTTCGTGCTGACCTCAGGCTGACCTCAAATTCAAGGCAATCCTCCTGCTTCAGCCTCTTGAGTGCTTGGATTACAGACTTGGGCCACCAGGCCCGCATTGAATTCTTTGAATTTGTCTCCTCCTTTCCAGTCTGTCCCCAGGGTGATCCCTTCCCTCAGCTAACCTTTGACCTACTTTTCAGACCTTGTGGGCTGGACTGGGCTCTCCATACCTGTCCCAGGTGAGGGTGGCTCAGGAGAGGAGGCTGGGAAACAGCCTCTGGCAGAAACAGCCTCCGGCAGTGCCGTACTCTGCCTGGAGCCGCAGCCAGGAGCCTGGGGTTGGGGCTGGCTGTGCCTCTAACTCCCTGTGACCTTGGGCAAGTCGCTTTCTTGCTTTGAGCCTCCCTACCATGAGATGAAGAGATTACAGGAGAGATGACCTCGAGGCCGAGGCCAAGAAGGCCTAGGCTGGGACTCCATCATCTGCAGGTCTGAGCTCACTGGGTCTCAGAGCCACCTGGACTGGTTGGTTCCCTGGGAGGTATGGAATGAGGGGCTGGGCCCAGGATCCTGAAATCCATCCTGTGTGCTTCCCACAGTTCCCCTTCAGTTCTCTTCTGGTACTTCCTGGCTGTTTTCCTGTTTCTTCCTATGCTGCCTCCCCAGCCTGCTCTGAGTCGTTTTCCTTTGCAGTGAGGCGCACAGTGGGTGCCTCTCCATTCCACCCCAGCTGGCTGGTGCTGGGCCAGGACCCAGGCCTTGCATGCCTCCCCTGCTGGCCCTACCCCGGCATCTCGCCCTTGGGTGACTGCTTTTCTCCTTCACATATACGAATTGCACATCACAGATTTCAGCCAATTAACAAAGTGAACATACATCCTTGCTCTGTCCTGGTACCTTGCTGTATCTCTCTGGCCTTTTGGGTCTCTGAGCTCTTAACTGACTTGGTGATCAGGTTCTGTGATGGGGTGGGGCGGTGGGCATCCTGCTTTAGGAGAGCCACCAAAGAGAACCAGTCACAGTCATCTGTTGTGCTTTTTAAACATAGTTTTCACTTTTTTTTTTTTTTTTTTTTTTCCCATTAAGTTTATTGGTACATTTTAGGTATACAGTACAGTTACATTCATCATTGGGAATTTGTACCTTTTTTTTTTTTTTTTTTTTTTTTTGCTGGTACCAGGGCTTGAACTTGGGACCTTGCACTTGCCAGGCAGGTGCGGCACGACTGAGCCACACCCCCGACCCTCAGCTTTCAGGTCTTGTTCTTTGGATTTTGTTGTTGCTGTTCATAGTACCTTTACTTTGTACCTTTATTTTTTGGGGTTTTTTTGAGATAAGGTATTGTCATCCTCCTCCCTCAGCCTCCCAAGTGCTAGGATTATAGGTGTGCAACCACCGCACCTGGCTGCACAGCACTGGACCTGGAGCTCTGTCCCAGCTATTTGTAACTTTCCCCCTAGTACTAAGGGTTGAACCTAGGGCCTTTGCACTGAGCTTAATCCCCAGCCCTTTCTTATTTTAAAACCAGGTCTCACTAAGTCAGCCAGCTGCCCAGGTTGAGTTTGAACCTGTGATCCTCCTGCTTCAGCCTCCCAGAGTTCTGGGATCACAGGTGTGTGCCATCACTGCTAACTGTGTTGTGACTCTTACATTAATTATTAGCAAGTTGCCTGGAAAGGTTAGACTCCTCACTGCCTGACTCATTACAGTTCAGTGGGGGTGAGTGAGAAGTAATTACTCTGCATTCCTTGGGGAAAATATGCTATAGAATGTGGAAATAACCTTCCCTAGCAGGGCTCCAAAGACAGAACAAGGGTAGCAAGCTTTGTGGGTCCCTCCAAGGCTTGCACCACTTAGTTCCAGAAGAAAGTTTTGTTTTTTTGAGACAGGGTCTTGATTAGTAGTTTAGGCTGGCCTTGAACTCACTATGTAGCCCAGGCGGGCCTCAAACTCATGGTGATCCTCCTGCCTCAGTCTCCCAAGTGCTGGGATCACAGGTGTGGGCCACCACATCTGGTGTAAAAAAGATCTTTTGGTACTGGGGATCAAACTCAGGACCTTGTGCTTTCAAGGTAGGCGGCTGCACCACTGAACTAAATCCCCAGCCCCAAAAAGATCTTCTGACATTACTGAATTGAAAGATCAATGACAACCCAACCTTAGTGGAGGAGCTAGAAAGGAAAGCAGTAGGAAAACGGCATTTTTTGCTCTCCAAAGATCTCATAGTAGTATGCAGAGACTTGACCCTTAGTGAGAGACACACAAAGGCGCAAATGAAAACGGCTGACTATGGGGACATATGATGACACTTGCCTATTGATTTATTTTTGCAGTACTAGGGGTTGAACCCAGGGATTTCCCACTGAGCTCCACCCCCAGGGCACCCCCATTTAAATTTTAAGACAGGGTCTCTCTGAGTCACTAAGGTGTCAGGCTGCAGCAAACTTTATTTCTGCCTCAGCCTCCAGAGTGCTGGGATTTGAGGTGTGTCCATCCCCTGGTCCTGTGTATGAATGGATAGAGATGGATACACGCACTCTGCCAAGTGGGAGGGTAGGCTTAAAAATTGTTGATCTGAAAACAAAAATTATAAACCTGTAGGGCTGGAGATTTAGCTCGATGGCACTGCGACTGCCTTGCAAATGCAAAGTCCTGAGTTCAATTCCTGGTACCAGATAGAAAATTAAAAATCTGTCTTGTATGCTCACGGACATGAATTTTTAATCTTTCGTGCTTAATTTTTTTTTTTTTTTTTTGGTACTGGAGATCGAACTCGGGACCTTGTGCTTGCGAGGCAGGCGGAGGAACCACTAAGCTAAATCCCCGGCTTTTGTGCTTAATATTTTGAGCCTTTGGTGACTTGAAAACCCTGACTTCCTCCTGGCCTTTGGGAATGCACATCGTCATCCCTGGGTATCTGGGGTTGCTATTCGAGGAACCCCCTTCATCACAGACCCAAAGTCAGCAGATGCTCCAGACCCCTGTGTAGAATGGTTCGGTGTCATCATACACTTTGTCGCAACACCTGAGGCAGGGTACAGGCTCTGTCATAACTGTTGGGCTGTTGTTGAGGGGACACTGATGAAGAGCCTTCTGGGCCTAACAGCCTGGTGTTCGCAGGAGAGTGAGGTGGGAAGTGGCCAGGACTGCAAGAGGGAGGCCAATGTCACTTCATTCCTGCAGCCTGAGAGGGTGCAGTGTGCCATGGTCAAGCTTCATTTTCTGGAACTTCCTGGAATTATTTGCCTTGAGCATGGCAATCTGTGGCTGGTTCAGTCTGTGGCTGGGGAACCTTGATGGGAGGGCAGCTGTACCCGGGGTGACTCTCCACGGGCTCGGAAACGCAGTTCTGCACCTCGACGGTGTCCAGATGTGGTCTGGCAATTGGGGTGCTGTGCTGGGTGTCGTACAATGGGGCATTTTCCACCACTCTGATGGGAAGAGAGTCACATCTCTGAGTGATCTGGGCCTTCTGAGAATTCTCCTCACCAACTTCTGAGGGGAGCATGGCAAAGTACAGAAGCAGAGCGAAGCTTTGAAGCCGAGAGGGGCTGGTCCCGGCTGTGTCACGGTGCCTTGCCGTGGGAGGCTGCAGTCGTCGCTGAGGCTCAGCCCCTCCCCCGCCTAACGAGAACAGTGACGCCCACCTTTCGGGGCTGGCTGTAAATATTCCATGAAACCTCGCCTGTAAAGGGCCTGACACAAAGGGGACTCAGTGCATGAAGACTTCAGCCTCTTTTCTTTGTGCCGCGCGCAAGCACACGTCCTGTGGGGATTGGGAAGGGTGAGAGTCCTGGGATTTCCTGAGTCCCAGCTCCCACACTGAACTCTCCGCCTTCCCCAGAGATGAGATAGATGTGTCCTGAGTAGACTCCCTGGCCCGCCGGGCCCCTGGCAAGCACAGCAGTGCCCCCTGCAGGTTCCAGGTGGAGCCCGGTGGTCCTTTCCCAACAGGTTTCCCGGGAAGTGCACCCTGCGAATTCCAGAGCTGCAGTAACGCGCCTGCTGCCCAGCTTCTGGTCACAGCTGGGGACCTTCGGGCGGGGCACAGAGGTTTCTGTATTCAGCTGCCCAGGCAGAGGAGAATGGGGTCTTCACAGCCTAAAGAATGAAGACTCGACAGAATAAAGACTCGGTGAGTGGGAACGAAGAGACAGGAAAGATGAAGGGAGGCGGGTGGAGGAAGGGGCTGCAGACATTGCCTGCCTCTTCCTGCCTGTCAGATGTCAATGAGGAGTGGACGGAAGAAAGAGGCCCCCGGGCCCCGGGAGGAGCTGAGATCGAGGGGCCGGGCCTCCCCTGGAGGGGTTAGCACGTCCAGTAGCGATGGCAAAGCCGAGAAGTCCAGGCAGACGGCCAAGGTATTCCACCCAGGTGCCCGGGTCCTCGGGGATGCCGGTGCAGGGCGCCCCCATGCGGCGCGAGGCGCACTGGGTAACGCGGGGCTCGGAGGGAAATGACTGACCGGACTCTCTCCCCAGCAGAAGGCCCGCGTGGAGGAAGCTTCCGCCCCCAAGGTCAGCAAGCAAGGCAGGAGCGAAGAGATCTCAGAGAGTGAGAGCGAGGAGACCAGTGCACCAAAAAAGACCAAAACTGAGGTGGGAGATCCTGCCGCCATCCTGACCCATGTTCTGATCATTTTTTCCCCAAACTTCCTGCCACTCAGTGTTCCTACTTTGGTCTTCGCTGGGATATGGAGAAGAGTTGTATCTTACTGCTCATTAAATGTCCATAATGTCAGACATCTCCAGGGCTTTGATCAGACCCTAAGTGACCAGGCAGGAGAGTTGGAGGATCAGAGGCTGGGAAATCTTAGTTGTGGAAGGAACAAACCATAAGGAGCCAGGCGTGATGGCACACACCTGTCAACCCAGCACTCAGGAGGCTGAGGCAGGAGGATTGCCACGTGCTTGAAGCCAGCTTGGGCTACATAGTGAGACCCTGCCTCAAAAAACTAACGGAACAAAACCTCATAAGGAGAATTCAGAAGTGTTTGTGGTTCTTTTTTTAGAACCAAGGGTTTGGAGAATGGTTAAATGGGCCAGTGAGATGTGAGAACGGTAGGTACAAGGAAGAAGGATTTGGAGCTGTGGAGAGGGAGAAGGCGCTTGAGATGGACACAGGATTGACAAGGAGGGTGACAAGCTGGGGGACCCCAGAGGCGGGAGGCGGCTTGAGCAGGAGCTGCGGGAGGCTGTGGAGGGGCCGGTCTTGGTCTTGAAGGAAAGGGAACGAGAACACGGCCCTCCCCTCTGCAGCAGGAGCTCCCTCGGCCACAGTCCCCCTCGGACTTGGACAGTCTGGATGGGCGGAGCCTGAACGACGACGGCAGCAGTGACCCGAGGGACATAGACCAGGACAACCGCAGCACCAGCCCCAGCATCTACAGCCCCGGGAGCGTGGAGAATGACTCGGATTCCTCTTCCGGCCTGTCCCAGGGCCCAGCCCGGCCCTACCACCCGCCCCCACTTTTTCCTCCCTCCCCTCCGCCGCCAGACAGCGCGCCCAGACAGCCAGAGCCTGGCTTTGAGCCCCACCCCTCTGTGACGCCCACCGGCTATCACGCTCCCTTGGAGCCCCCCACACCCCGAATGTTCCAGGCTCCTGGGGCCCCTCCCCCTCACCCCCAGCTCTACCCTGGGGGGGCAGGTGGAGGAGTTTTGTCTGGACCTCCACTGGGCCCTAAAGGGGGAGGGGGTGCCTCTTCAGGGGGGGCCCCTAGTGGGGGCAAGCAGCACCCCCCACCCACTACCCCCATTTCCATATCAAGCTCTGGGGCCAGTGGTGCTCCCCCAACAAAGCCACCTAACACCCCCGGGGGTGGTGGGAACCTAGCCTCGGCGCCTCCACCAGCCACTTTCCCCCATGTGACTCCAAACCTGCCTCCCCCACCTGCCCTGAGACCCCTCAACAATGCCTCAGTCTCTCCTCCTGGCCTGGCTGCCCAGCCAGTCCCTGGGCACCTGCCCTCTCCCCATGCCATGGGCGGACTTCCTCCGGGCACAGAGAAGGGCCCGGCTCTGGCCCCTTCGCCCCACCCCCTGCCCCCTGCTTCTTCCTCCTCTGCCCCAGCGCCCCCGATGCGGTACCCCTATTCGGCCTCTAGCAGCATCTCCGCAGCGGCCTCCTCCAGCTCTTCCTCCTCTTCCTCCGCCTCCCAGTACCCAGCTTCCCAGGCCCTGCCCAGCTACCCGCACTCCTTCCCTCCCCCCACCAGCCTCTCGGTCTCCAATCAGCCTCCCAAATACACTCAGCCTTCTCTCCCCTCCCAGGCCGTGTGGAGCCAGGGTCCGCCCCCACCCCCTCCCTACGGCCGCCTCTTGGCCAACAGCAGTGCCCACCCGGGCCCCTTCCCTCCTGCTGGGGCCCAGTCCACTGGGGCTCCCCCAACCCCAGCACATCACCACCACCACCAGCCGCAGCCGCCGCCTCCCCAGCAGCCGCCGCCGCAACATCATGGAGGCTCTGGGCCCCCGCCCCCGGGAGCGTACCCCCACCCTCTGGAGAGCAGTGGCTCCCACCACGCACACCCCTACACCATGTCGCCCTCCCTGGGGTCGCTGAGGCCCTATCCCCCGGGGCCAGCACACCTGCCCCCATCCCACGGCCAGGTGTCCTACAGCCAGGCAGGCCCCAGCGGCCCCCCAGTCTCCTCCTCTTCCAACTCCTCCTCTTCCTCTCAAGGGTCTTACCCTTGCTCGCACCCCTCCCCTTCCCAGGGTCCCCAGGCGGCGCCCTACCCCTTCCCCTCGGTGCCTCCGGTCACCACTTCCTCGGCCACCCTTTCCACGGTCATCGCCACTGTGGCTTCCTCGCCAGCAGGCTACAAAACGGCCTCCCCACCTGGGCCCCCGCCCTACGGCAAGAGAGCCCCGTCCCCGTCCCCGGGGACCTACAAGACGGCCACCCCGCCCGGGTACAAGCCGGGCTCGCCGCCCTCCTTCAGAACGGGGACCCCGCCGGGCTATCGGGGTGCCTCCCCGCCTGCAGCCCCGGGGCCCTTCAAGCCCGGCTCGCCCACCGTGGGGCCAGGGCCTCTGCCGCCCCCGGGGCCCTCGAGTCTGTCATCCCTGCCGCCGCCAGCCGCTGCCCCTGCTTCGGGCCCCCCCCTGAGCGCCACGCAGATCAAACAGGAGCCGGCTGAGGAGTACGAGGCCCCTGAGAGCCCGGCGCCCCCGGCCCGCAGCCCCTCGCCCCCTCCCAAGGTGGTGGACGTGCCCAGCCACGCCAGCCAGTCGGCCAGGTGAGCGTGGGTGTGGGAGGGGTGAGGCCGTGCTGGCGACTTGAGACCAGGGCCCTCACCGCGGGCTGTGTCCCCAGCCCTTTATTATTCCTGAGCCGGGGTCTCGCGAAGACCTCCCCCTGGCTGGGCTTGAATGTGCTGTCCTGTCTCGGCCTCCCACAGCGCAGGGATTACATATGTGCGCCACCACTCCCGGCTCGTGCTGTTTTTAGAAGTGCACCAGGCACTGCACCGCTCCGCGCGCCCCGGGTGGGTGGCAGCTCGAAGCCGGGGGCTGCTCGGGGGCTGAGGGCGCGCTGCCTCCCGGCAGGTTCAACAAACACCTGGACCGCGGCTTCAATTCGTGCGCGCGCAGCGACTTGTACTTCGTGCCGCTGGAGGGCTCCAAGCTGGCCAAGAAGCGGGCCGACCTAGTGGAGAAGGTGCGGCGCGAGGCCGAGCAGCGCGCACGCGAAGAAAAGGAGCGGGAGCGGGAGCGGGAGCGCGAGAAGGAGCGCGAGCGCGAGAAAGAGCGCGAGCTGGAACGCAGCGTGGTGAGTGCGTCACGAGCTGCGCCTCCCGCCTCTTCCCCTCCCTCCCTTGCGCGGCACTGCGGGGCTCCGGGTGGGGGGCGGGGAAGTCACTTCGCCACCTGTCGGAGAGGAGGAGCCACTGGCGCCTGGAAGAGAGAACACGAGAGGATTCTGGAGGGAACCCTCGTGGGGGGCTTGCTCCGGGCCAGCCGATGGCTGTGGGTCGCAGGAGGGGCAAATATGTCTAGGGAAAAGGAGCAGGAAAGTTCCTGGTAGGAACAGGCAATGTTCCTATAACTGCAGTTTTGACTCCACTTCTGTACCTGGCAGAAATTGGCGCAGGAGGGTCGTGCTCCAGTGGAGTGCACATCTTTGGGTCCAGTGCCCCATCGCCCTCCGTTTGAGCCTGGCAGTGCTGTGGCCACAGTGCCCCCCTACCTGGGTCCCGACACTCCAGCCCTGCGCACTCTCAGTGAATATGCCCGACCTCACGTCATGTCTCCAGGCAATCGCAACCACCCTTTCTACGTGCCCCTGGGGGCAGTGGACCCGGGGCTCCTGGGTTACCCGGCCCTGTACAGCAGTGACCCCGCTGCTCGTGAGAGGGAGCGGGAAGCCCGTGAACGAGACCTTCGTGACCGTCTCAAACCTGGCTTCGAGGTGAAGCCTAGTGAGCTGGAACCCCTGCATGGGGTTCCGGGGCCCGGCCTGGATCCCTTCCCCCGGCACGGGGGCCTGGCCCTGCAGCCCGGCCCGCCGGGCCTGCACCCTTTCCCTTTCCACCCGAGCCTGGGGCCCCTGGAGCGAGAGCGTCTAGCGCTGGCGGCTGGGCCAGCCTTGCGGCCTGACATGTCCTATGCCGAGCGGCTGGCAGCTGAGAGGCAGCACGCAGAAAGGGTAGCAGCCTTGGGGAATGACCCGCTGGCCCGGCTACAGATGCTCAATGTGACCCCGCATCACCACCAGCACTCCCACATCCACTCGCACCTCCACCTGCACCAGCAGGATGCCATCCATGCAGGTGAGGGGCCCCCCTTCTGTTTCCTCGGGCCAGAACATCCCCCCTGGTGTGGCAGGAACCTCTCCTGAGACGGCTGGCAGCCCAGATCTTTGCCTCCCTGACCTTCCCTACAGCCCTCCCCATAGCCCAGCATCCCGATGGAGGGCCTGGCTGGAGCCCTTCTAGCCTGTCCCTCCCTCCCTCCCTTCCTTCCTTTCTTCCTTCTTGTATTGGAGACTGAACCCAGGACCTTCACACGGAGCTACATTCTTAGCCCTTTTTAACATTTCTTTTCTTTTTTCGGTACCTGGGATCGAACTCAGGACCTTGTGCTTGCAAGGCAGGCGTCGGAACCACTGAGCTAAATCCTGAACCCTCTTTTTAACGTTTTTAATGGGCTAGGCTCAAAGTTGAGATGGCCTGCTTCAGGCTTCCACAGTGCTGGGATTATCACCCTATTCTTGGCTGGCCTAGCCTTACACTCACATTCATTCTAGGTGCCTCCTGTCTTCTTGTTGATCTGTCTTCTCTTTCTCATTTTCTGTGCATCTTTTGTCCTCCACCTGAAAGTAGCTTGCCTTTCTTGCCTTCTCCTCAACCCCTGGAGCAGCTGTGGTCTCCTCCCCTGCCTTCCCTGGGTCCTCCTCCCTGTCCATCCCTGTGTCTTTTGTCCATCGCCCAGGTCTAGGCCTCTGTTCTGCCTGTTTCCCTTGTGGGTCCCCTTGTGTTTGATGGTCTGGCTCTTCCTGTCCTCAGACTCCCATCCCTGCCTCCGGGTGACGCTGTCCTCTTCTTCCCTGCAGCCTCTGCCTCGGTGCACCCTCTCATTGACCCCCTGGCCTCAGGCTCTCACCTTACTCGAATCCCCTATCCGGCCGGGACCCTCCCTAACCCCCTTCTTCCTCACCCTCTGCACGAGAATGAAGTTCTTCGTCACCAGCTCTTTGGTAAGGACGGAGGTTGGCTAGGGAGGCTGAGTGGAGGGGACAGGGGGACCTCGGGCGGTGGAGGGGCCGAGGGGCTGGGATGGGAACGGGAGGAGGCCTCCCCAGAGAGGCTCAGGTTCAGTTCCTCTCTGGCGTGACAGCTTGCAGGAGACTGCCTTTCCTTTTAGTCCCACTGTCCCATGTGGGTGGCCGGCCGGCTGGCCCTGCCCCAGGGCAGGTGCTCAGTATCCACTAGTCACCAGCCCCTGCCCCTCGCAGCTGCCCCTTACCGGGACCTGCCAGCCTCCCTGTCTGCTCCGATGTCGGCCGCTCACCAGCTGCAGGCCATGCACGCGCAGTCAGCCGAGCTGCAGCGCTTGGCACTGGAGCAGCAGCAGTGGCTGCATGCACATCACCCCCTGCACAGCGTGCCGCTGCCTGCCCAGGAGGACTACTACAGGTACAGCCCACTCCCGCCTGCCCTGAGCCTTCCAGGCCCGGTCCCAGCCTGACCTCTCTGCCTTTTCTTTCCCTCCCTAGTCACCTGAAGAAGGAAAGTGACAAGCCGCTGTAGAGCCTGTGACTCCCAGGGCTCCTGCACCCAGAACACAGACCGCTCCTGCCTGCCTGGAGCCCGGAGCCAGGAGAGGCTGCTGCTCAGCCGCAGGGCCTCTGCTGCTGGGCCAGGGAGGAGGGCCGGCGGGACACAGCAGGCTGAGGCCTGGGTGTGGAGGGGCGGGGAGAACCCCCGCTGTCTTGGACCAGGTCCCTTTCTTGTCCCTGGCTCCCCTCCTCCCAGATGCCCGACCTTCAGTGGCACCACCCCTCCCTGACCCCGTTGGTGTGATTATTTCATCTGTTAGATGTGGCTGTTTTGCGTAGCATCGTGTGCCACCCCTGCCCTGCCCTGCCCCGTCCCTGTGTGCGCAACCCCTCTGCGATGTATTCCCTTGCCCTGCCCCACATTAATAATTTATATATATAAATATCTATATGACGCTCTTTAAAAAAACATCCCAATCAAAACCAACCAAACAAAAACACCCTCACGACTCCCCAGAAAGATGGCTGCGACTTGTTCTTTGGGGGCCACGGGTCGGGGGTGGGGTCTCATCAGGGCCCTGACCGGGGTGGGTGTGGGGCTGGACAGCGGCTCTGGTCCTTCCCTCGCCCAGGCCCGAAAGATTCTAGAGGCCTGAGAAGTCCAGGGGGTGTGGCCCTCATCCTATGTGCCACCGGCGTTCCAGTGGGGACGGGCGGCTGGGGGAGTGGGGCAGAGGTTCACTAGGCCAAGGCAGTTAGTACCTATGCCGCCTTCGGCATGGGGTTGAACCCAGGCCCTTTCAGGCAGGCTGTTCCCCAAGTCGAGACCCTGCTTCAGCTTCCCAGAATGCTGGGATTGCAAGCAGGCGCCACGCCCTGCTAGCACCTGGTTTTCTTAACCACCCTATGTTAGAGTGGGCGACCACCTGGAAAGGTCCTGAACTAGGCCAGTTTAGCAAAGCGTTGACTAGACTCTCGCTCTGGGGCTTTTATTGCTGCGAATGAGTTTTTGGGCTTCAAAAAGGCTGGGATTGGTTGGCCATTTGACCAATCAGGATCTGGCTTATTTGCATAGTAGATACCAAACGTTCAGACACTCTAGAAATAAATGACTTCGCTCGTTCCTTAGAGAACTGTTTCTTCTACGGAAGGTATACTGTGCTTCGTTGTTTACACATTAACAGCGACTGGGGGCAGGGAAAAAAAAAAATAGCACTGTGATCTCACCCTCACCAATTGCGGAGTTAATGGATACCCCAGAGGCGTTCCAGGCTGCCTTCCACAAGTGTTACAGCTCTTTTAGAATTTGTCTAGCAGGTCTTCTGGCGTTTGGCGTCGGAAGACCCCCTCCCCAACCTCGTCTGAGTTTTACGTAAGAACCATATCACTTTTACTCCGACCAAGCTATGTCGCTCAGACAGTTACAGAACCGCCCGCCCCATAGCTGGGGATGATACAGGGGGACTTCCGGTTTGAGACGGATACTTCGCTCCACCACCGCCTGCGCGTCTCTCGGAGCCTGCGCATTCTACTCTGTTTCTGCGCGTCATACGCGCCAGCCCATGGCGTCGGTCTCCGGGCAGCCGGCGGCGCTGAGTGCTGAGCAGGCTAAGGGTGAGCGGCTCGGGCGGCAGGCGAGGGCCTCCCTGTGAGACACCGCGATGCACTGACCCCTCTCTCTCTGTGTCCGCTGCGCCTGCCGGCTGCGGCTGCCTCGTCCGGGTTCCCGCTTGCAGTGGTCCTGGCGGAGGTGATCCAGGCATTCTCCGTCCCCGAGAACGCCGTGCGCATGGACGAGGCCCGAGACAATGCGTGCAACGACATGGGCAAGATGCTGCAGTTCGTGCTGCCAGTGGCCACGCAGATCCAGCAGGAGGTGATCAAGGCCTACGGCTTCAGCTGCGACGGCGAAGGTGGGCCCGCCGCGGGGCGGCAGCGGAGCGGGCGTCGGTCGGGAGGACCTGAGCTCATCGGCCGAGGTCCTTTCTCCCCTCACGGCAGCAGCCACAAACTTGGCGCTCAGAGGCTTGGGTCGAGGGTCCCGAGTGCGTCCTGCGGTTCCCCCCACCGAGTGCCGGGCTCACTCGTCCCGGACCCGGGCCTCACTTCTGCCGGCTCTGGCGAGCTGTCCATGGCTGCAGCTTCTGCAGTATCTTTAGGGGCTGGACGTTGAATTTCTTTGGTGAGATCACAGCATTTCCCCGGGGTGGGGAAGACTGGGATCCAGCCGCGCTGGAGCGAGAGCAGCGCCTTGTTGGGGACATTTTCGTTTCTGCCTCCCATCCAGGGCCCAGTGCTGCCTGAAAGTTGTTGATCCAATCCGTGCTGGAGGGAGGTCTGCAGCGTCCTGCGTCGTGGATGGCGCCGGTCTTAGGGAGCCGCCCGTCCCCTACCGCACCCTGGGCCACCCCTTGGCACCCCGGGCGCGGGAGGTGGTGACACTGCACTCCCTCCTGCAGGTGTCCTTAAGTTTGCCCGCCTGGTCAAGTCCTATGAAGCCCAGGATCCTGAGATCGCCAGCCTGTCCGGCAAGCTGAAGGCGCTGTTCCTGCCGCCCATGACACTGCCTCCCCACGGGCCGCCGTCCGGGGGCAGCGTGGCCGCCTCCTGAGGACTGCCCTTCCGCTGTGCACTGCTGAGGAGAGGGAGGCCTGGGTGTTGCGGAGGACAATAAACGCTCCTGGGGTTGAGCCTGTGTCCGTCTCCTGTAGCCGTGCCCCTGTCACAGGGCCCCTCTGCCTGTCCAGGTCCTTCCTGTCCCCCGCAGGCAGGCCAAGGCCGGGTCCCCGCGGGTCCTGGGAGGGCGGGTCAGTACCAGCCGCGCCTCCTTAGCGGACCGGTGGCAGGGAGGCCGGCGCGGGCGTGTTCTTAGCCCAGGATAGTTCCTGGTCTCCAGGCTGCCTGCTGTCAGCAGGAGCTCAGGTGGAGCTTCAGGTGGCTCCTCCCCTCCCAGAGCAGGCTCCGGGGCACGGATGAGGAGTAGCGGGCAGCGCCTGGGCGGTCTCCGGCCGGCCCCGCCCCACCTGTCTGCCCGGAGACCATTAGTCCAGGCGCCTTTCTTGCCGTGTCATTGGCCTGGCCGGCGGATCGAAGAGGAAGTGGCAGATCCGGAGTGATCTTCCTTCCTGGACGGGCACAGCGCGCCGGGCTTGGTCCCGCCCCTCTGCCCGAGACTCCCGCACCCCGGGAGATGCTGTCCAGCGGGTGAGTCCCCCGCAAGCACACCTGGGCCCGCGCTCCTACAGAGCGGGAGGGAGGGCGCGGGTCCTGCTCTTCCCAACAGGTGTGTGGTGGCGGGCTGCCGCTGCCCATCGGCCCTGTCTCGGGCCGGGCTTCCCGCCCGCAGACTCCCCTCCCGCACACTCCCCTCCCACAGGCCCCGAGGACGCCATCCCGTTCGTGCTCCTTCGCCCCCCTCTCTCCCATTCCGAGACAGCTGCACATCTTCTTTCGTCGCGGCACTCTTCGGGCTGCTTGTCCCCGCTTCTGTCCTGGCCTGGGTAGTTGACGCTGCTACACACGACAGGCACCCCTGAGGAGGCTCGCCCGTTTCCAGCCCACTTGCCCTGATGTCGTGGCACCTGAGCCTGATTCTGTTTTGTTCCCTTGACTTCCCCTCCCGGCATCATCTGCTCAGCCGTGTGTGGAGCATCGAGTGCCAGCTACTGCTTAGTGAGGGGTGGTCCCTCCTCCACACAGCTGTCGTTTCAGTAGGGGGTGACGGACTGAACAGCCTGTGAAAAGACTGGTGTGGTGGTCCACCCTGTAATCCCACCTACCCGGGAGGCTGAGGCAGGAGGATTCCAAGTTTGAGGCCACTCCAGGCAACGTATCGAGGCCCTGTCTCAGAAAAGGACTGGGGGAAAAAGGAAGAGAGAAAAAAGGGCAGGGGATATAACTCGGGGCTCCAGGGGTTCACTTCGTGGTACTACAGGAAACAAGCATGAGCCAATGCGTAGAACTCTTGTCAGCCACTTGGAAATGCTATGTAGAAGACGTGAACAGCCTCGCTGCTAGTGAGTGTCAGGTGCTAGGTGTTACTGGCTGGAGGACTTGGGGCTTCCTGCCTGCCGAGGTGGCGTGGAGCTGAGGCTGGATGAGGAAGAGGCTCCAGCCATAGGGTGATTAGGAGGCACGCAGCCTTGGGCACAGGAAGTGGCGAGTGTGGGGCCGGGTGAGGGACACGGGGAGGATGGTGCCCGTGCGGAGGAGCCCGAGGGGGAGCAGGGCTGGGCCGGGCTGGACAGGCCTGGATGGGTAGGCCTGGCTGGCATCTTCCCGGGCATCCCTTCCTGTCTGCACTGCCGGCTGGCACACCTTGTGGCTGCCAGCCTTTTGGGAGGGCTTTCACTGTCTTCCGCTCCCGGTGGTGCCAACATGGTCATTTTCTACAGGTGGCTTGCCAGGGCCCCGCCTGGAGCAGAACCCTCAGCTTGGACAAGCAGTACCCAGTGCAACCCATCCGCTGCTAAGCACTTGCTCCAGGCCTGCTGCCTGGCCCAGCCCGCTCCTGTGCCCTCTGTGTGGCACCTCGGGGCTTGCTTGGTGTCCCCCTGGGAGGAGCCTGCCCCTCCATCTTCCATCCGTGCCCAGCATCTGCCCACGGTGGGCTCCACAGTGCAGTGGTAGACCTGGTACCAGGCCGTGTCCCAGCTGGGCTTGTCCACCTTCCCACCACTAGCTTGTGACTTCGGGAGAGTTACTTAACATTTCTGAGACTTAGTTTTTGTTTCTAAAATTGGGCTAATAAGCCAGGCATGGTGGCACATGCCTGTAATCCCAGCACTCAGGAGGCTGAGGCAGGAGGATTGCCATAAATTTGAGGCGAGCCTGGGCTACATGGTGAGACCCTGCCTCAAAATAATGATGATGATGATGATGATGATGATGATGATGATGATGATGATGATACATTTATTCCTCTGTCCCTCAGCATCCATGGGGGAATTTCGGGGCTTGGTTGTAGGACCATGAGCAGATACCAGTGTCTGCAGCTGCTCCAGTACTTGATATAAAGTGCTGCAGGATTTGCTTAGGACCACCACGACGTCCTCCATACGTTCTAGATCATCCCTGAGAAGGTTGACAAACCGACACAGTGTAAATGCTCTTAGTAGGCTCACATTGCCTTGTGAAGGGAATAAAAGAAACTCTAAATTGGTAAACACAAACAACCCCTGGGCTCCCCTGTAGTGGGGCTTGAACCCAGGGCCTTGGCACTGAGCTGCATCCCCAGCCCTTTGAAATATTCATTTGTTCATTTATTTATTTAGACAAAGTCTCACTGTGTATCCCAGGCTGGCCTTTAATCTGCAGTCCTCCAGCCTCAGCCTCCCAAATGCTGGAATTTCAGGTATGCACCATCATGCCTGGCCAGAACAGACACAATTTAAAAAAAGCAAAACAAAACTGTTTTTCAATCTCTGGTTGAACCATAGGATGGAAGAGTCGTGGTTGTGGAGAGCAGGCTTTGCAATGTAAAAGCCATTGATACTGAAGTTCTACCACTTGTCAGGATTTTTCCTTTTTTTTTTTTGTACCAGGAACGGAACTCGGCCTCATGCTTGCCAGGCAGGCGCTGTGCTGCTGAGCTACATCCCTGCCCCCCCCCCCTTTTTGAGACAAGATCTCACTCTGTTCTTCATGCTGGCTTTAAACTCACTATGTAGCCCAGGCTGGGCTTGAACTACTCATAGTGATCCTCCTGCCTCAGCCTTCTGAGTGCTGGGATCACAGGTGTGCCCCACCATGCCTGGGCTCCTTTTTTCAGGACAGGGTCTTGTTATCTAATTTAGGCTCCTCTTGAACTTGCTATGTAGCCCAGCTCTTTTTCTTCTCTTTCTCCTCCCCCTCCTCCTCTTCCTCCTCCTGTTTTGTTTTGGGGATGGGAGACTTGCTACTTTGCCCAGACTGGCCTCAAATTCTTTGGTTTAAACCAGGCATAGTGGTGCATGCTTGTATTTCCAGCACTCCAGAGGTTGAGGCAGGAGGATTGCTGTGGATTCGAGGCTAGCCTGCAGTATATAGCAAGACCCTGTCTCAAAACAAAACAAAAAAACCCCGAAACCTACAAAAATTCCTCCATTTAAAAAATAATTCCTGCACTGGGTGATCCTGCATCAGCTTCTCCTGTAGCTGGGTTATCACCGTTAGCATTGGTGTCTGAGAATTAGGGTTAACCCCTCTCATCGGATGGGGATACTGAAGAGAAGTCCAGTAATAAGTGGAAAATCAGGCAGGCCTGTAATTCAGCCCTTGGGAGGCTGAGGCAAGAGGGTCACCTGACTGAACTAGGTAGCAGAGACCTGACCGGAAAGATTCTTCACATCCCTCTTGCAGCCCCTGAATCTGAGCTTACCTCTGAGGTCAGCTCTCTGCTTCCCCAGGGAGCATTTTTCTTCTGAGGCTTATCAGGCCCTTAGCTGTGTAATTGTCAGCCTCCTTGAAGTTGTTGCTTCCTTACAAACTGGGGGAAAATTCCCACATCACAGTGCAGCCTGGCCTCTCATGGGATGGCCGAGTGTGTGCCATGCTCTGCCCCCTCCAGGTATTCTTTCCTTCCTGCCAAGCAGGACCTGTGCGTCTAGTTTTTGTTTTTGTTGTTTTTTGAGGTGGGGCCTCGCTATGCAGTCCAGGCTGGCCTTGAACTCACTGTGTAGCCCAGGCTGGACTAAAACCTGGCAGCCAATCTGCCTCAGCTTCCCCAGTTCGTCACCATGCCCAGCGAGGGCCTGTGCGTCTTACCCAGTGTCTGTCTCGTAGCTTGGATCCCTCAGAGAAAGTGCTGCCTCTTCCCTGGGTGGAAGAGGTCAGGCTGGGCGGAGGGAGGGTCCTGGCTAGGGTGCCTGGGTGTTAGGGGAGGCTCGAGGTGGTAGGGATTGGGACTGGAAGCTGGACTGGGGTGAGTGCTGGGCATGTGCAGCCCAAGCCCGCTTTGCATAGATTCTTCTGCCCGGCTGGCTCTGGGAGGCTGGCTCTGGGTCAGGATGCAGGACCCAAGGCGGTGCAGGACTGAGTGATAAAGTGACCAGGCAAATCCCCAGGCCACCAGCGGCCAGGGAGACCAATTCTGGAGCAAAACCATAATCAAGGTTTTCAAAAATGCTAAACTAAGCTGGGCATGGTGGCAATACCTGGAAGACCAGCACGAGGGGCGGTGGGGAGCCTTAACAGTCAGAGCCCAACCTGGGTGGTTCAGCGAGGCTGTCTGGAAATAACTGAAGGAAGAGCTGAGAGTGGAGCAAGTGTGGAGGCACCGGCTTCAGTCTTTATGGGGGGGGTTGTCATGGAGAAATCAGACTTTTTAAAATTTTTGTAATGCAGAGGATGCAACCCAGGACTTCCAGCAGGATAGGCAAGCATTCAACCACTGAACTACATCCCCAACCCTTTCTATTTAGTTTTTGAGACAGGATTTCATCAAGTTACCCAGACTGGCCTCAAATTTGAGGTTCTGCCTCACCCTCCCAAATATGCATTATAGGCATGCACCACCATCTACAGTTTTATTTTTTTTAATTGAGATATAACTATAGTGCTGGGTGTGGCGGTGCACACCTGTAATCCCAGTACTCGACTCAGGAGGCTGAGGCCGGAAGATCGCCATGAATTTGAGGCCAGCCTGAACTAGATAGCAAGACCCTGTTTTTTTTGTTTTTTGTTTTTTTGTTTTTGAGACAGGGTCTCGATGTGTAGTTCAGGAGGGCACTGAACTCACTATGTAGCCCAGGCGGGCCTCCAACTCATGGTGATCCTCAGCTTCCCAAGTGCTGAGATTACAGGTGTGCAGCACCATGCTTAGCGCAAGACCCCCCTGTTTTAAAAAGACAGAAAACAAAAAGAGATATAATATATACTGTGCATGCAACCTGATCAACTTCACACTTTTTTGTGTGGTACTGGGGATAGAACCCAGGGCCTGACACATGCTAAGCACTTGCTTTATCACTAAGTCCCACCACAGTCCAACTTCATGGGGTTTTTTTTCTCATATTTAAAAAAAATATTTATTTTGGTGTTTTGAGACAGGGCCTCAGTATGTCATTCGGGCTGGCCTTGATCTCACTGTATGTAGCCCAGGCTGGCCTTGAACTCTCTTCGATCCTCGTGCCTCAGCCTCCCCAGTGCTGGGGTTACCAACTTAACATGTAAACAGACCCACGTGAATTTCTCCCAGATGGAGACACGGCTTTCCCAGCACCTCAGAACTTTCCTAGAAATCGCAGTCTCCCGGTCAGTGTATTTATTTTTACATAGGTCACGCAGGCCTATCATGCAGTACTGGGGGCTTTTTGCTTTTTAGCGGGTCCCGGAGGACTGTGGGGCTCGCACATGCGCTGACTGAGCCCGGCAGCCTGGAGTCCCCTCAGCAGGTGTGAGAGCTCAGGCTCTCCCTCCCCAGGGGCTGCTCGGCTCTTCCCTCGGCTTGGCTCTGCCGCCTTTGCACTTAGAATTGTGCACAGAGAGCAGCCGCCTTCTCCGAGCCCTGTGGTGGAGCTTGGGGTCATTTGTCCCCCTCAGCCCGGGGGGGTGACGCTGGGAGGGGAGCAGAGGGTGCCCAGGCCTCCAGAGCCTCAGTGGATCTCCCCTGCTCTGCAGCCCCTGTGGGCAGGGAGTGGCTCAGTGCCGTCCTCAAGGCCCAGAGTAGTTAAAATTACTGACTCTGGAGCTGGACTGTCTGGGTTTGGAACCCCGGCTGGCCACTTAGGAATTGTGTGGGCCTGGGCAATGCCTTAGACTCCCTGAGGCTCAGTTTCCTCATCTGTGAAATGGGGTCACAGGGGCCCAATGTCAGGGCTGCGATGACAATAACTCCAAGGCCTGTTTGTGGCATCGGGGCAGTGTCTGGCATGCAGTGACTCTCTGGTAAACAGCAGTCATCACTGTCGTCGCTGGTTAGTGCCATGAGAGACAGCGGAGGAGGAGGAGGTGACAGTGTGGCTGAGTGCAGGAGGCCTGATCTGGGCTGAGAGGGCCCAAGGCACATGCCTGTCCTCGCCTCTCGAGCTGTCACCTGTGTGCTTGCTGGCCCGAAGGCAGCCTGTGGGAAGCCCTCCCTCCCCCACGCCACCCTCTGCTTCTCCTGGGCTCCGAAAAGAGAAGTGCATGTGAGTTCCCCCAGGGGTCGGCCGCGCCCCTTCCTGTCCCCGCCCTGCCGGCTGCCCGGGGACAGTGCAGTGGAGTGGCAGCCCTGCACCAGGACTGCGGGCTGAGGTGGCCAGGAGGTGGCCTGGGCCCTGCCAGCTGAGGCTGAGGCTCAGCCCGAGCCCTCTCCTGCCTGGACAGGCTGCACCTGCTCCTCCTGGTGGCCCCTTCCTCTCCGGGAGCCCCCAGGATGGTGAGGTAAGGCCTGGGCCCATGGAGCAGGTGGCCCGGTGCAGGCCCCGGCCCCTCCTCACTGCCTCCCACCCTGCCAGGTGGTTCCACCGGGACCTCAGCGGGCTGGACGCAGAGACCCTGCTCAAGGGTCGCGGTGTGGATGGGAGCTTCCTGGCTCGGCCCAGCAGCAAGAACCAGGGCGACTTCTCGCTGTCTGTCAGGTAGGAGCCCAGCCCCTGGCGCACTCTGGCCCTGGCCCGGTGTCCTTGCCCTATCTCCCAGCCCGTCCCTCACCAGCTGGCGCCCCCACAGGGTAGGGGATCAGGTGACCCACATTCGGATCCAGAACTCGGGGGACTTCTACGACCTGTATGGAGGGGAGAAGTTCGCCACGCTGACCGAGCTGGTGGAGTTCTACACGCAGCAGCAGGGTGTGCTGCAGGACCGGGATGGCACCATCATCCACCTCAAGTACCCACTCAACTGCTCCGACCCCACCAGCGAGAGGTGACAAACCGCTCCCGCCTGGGTCACAGGCCTTCGAGCCCCTGCCCTCCTCCAGGGTCCCTGTCAGCTGCCAGCCCGGCCCTATGAGTGGCAGGGAGGCCACTGCTGGACTAGTGTCCCTGGCAGGTCAGCCCTATTGCTGGAAAGCTCTTTCTGTGGATCTCAAGCTGCTTCCTCCAGCTCTCCTGGCCCTGCCCAGCTCCTTAGAGCAGCAAGAGGCCGATGTGCAGGCCCGTCATGGGCTCCCTGTAACAGTGTTTTTAGGTTATATTTCTTTGAAATAGGGTCTCTCTGTGTAGCTCAGGTGGGGCTTGTGTAGCTTGGAGTGGCTTGTGATCCTCCTGCCTCAGCCTCCCAAGCACTGAGAATTCCCCTTTTTTAGGACACTTAGTGTCTTATCTCAGCAACCTGGTAAGGATTGGCCGTCCACTGGGGTTGGGTGGAGCTTGGCCAGTCCCAGGGCCCCAAGCAACATGGATAATTATAAACAAGGTGTGATGTAGTCACATGTGCACAGGGCCTAGCTCTGTTCCCAGGGACAGGTCCTACCCCAGGTCATTCCTCCTCTCTTTGCTGCAAAGATAGGGCCCCACAACTGGGCTGGCCGACCCCACGTGGTCTCCTCAAAGCATGGGTGAGGGAGAGGGAATTCGAGTGCTGAGTGGTGTATAATCCCAGCACTCTGGGAGGCTGAGGCAGGAGGGTTCCAAGTTTAAGCCTGTCCTTGGCAATTTAGTGATTTATGAGATGCTGACTCAAAATAAAAAAGGGCTGGAGGTGTAGCTCAGTGTTAAGGCCCTGGATTCAATCTCCAGTACCACCAGCACCACCACCAGAAATAAAGCCCCTCACTACACCAGCCCAGTTTAGCGTTTTAGGGTCAAGGGAGGGGAGGACCCAGGCTTTCTTCCCCGGGTGCCCTGGGCCAGCAGAACTGCCCTGTCCTGTGTTTGTGTGCTGAGCTGACTGTTGCAATGACTCTGACCTTTGGCGCTGCAGTGTTTAGTAATCATTTTTCTTTGCTGCTGGGATGGAACCCAGGGACTGGTGTGTCCACCTCTTGCTTGGAGCTGCATCCGCAGCAGTTCTGTCTCTGCTATTCCCGTCTGCATCCATGTGTGTGAAGCCACGGATGAAAACTCAGAACTGGATGAGGCTGAGCCCAGAGCCCTGTGTCCACCTCTGTCCGAGACCTTTCCACTCAGCATGGAGCCATCCTCAGCTTCCTTTGAGGGCTTCCTCTTCTACCAGTGAACCCCGGAATGGATTCCTCTCCTGATGGTTGCCCTCTGAAGTCCTTTTTTTTGTTTTGTTTTTTTTGGAGGCAGGGTCTCCCTTTGTAGTTCAGCCTGGCCCTGAACTCACTATGTAGCCCAGGGTGGCCTGGAACTCAGAGATCCTTCTGCCTCAGGTTCCCGAGTGCTGGGATTACCGGCGTGCACCACCACACCCAGCAGTCCCTTCTTTTTTTGAGACAGGGTCTTGCTATATACTTTAGGCTGGCCTTGAACTCACTATGTAGCCCAGACTGGCCTCGAACTCATGGCAATCTTCCTGCCTCAGCCTCCTTCTGAAGTGCCTTCTCCTTCCCTGCAACGTTCATGGCTGTTTTGCCACCCAGACCCTCCTGCAGTCTCCCCTTCTTCCTGGTCCAGCTGTGGGGCAGCAGGGCCTGGCCGGGCCCCAGAGAGGCTGTTCCTGTGAGTTCCAGGCTGCAAGAAGAAGGCCCAGGACAGGCCGCCCAGGAGGGCAAGAACTGGCATTGAAGGGCCAGAGCTGCCCGGAGTGCGGAGGCAGACTGGGCTGCTCAGAGCGCTGCTGTGGTCCCCCCTGACCCCCAGCGAGTGTGGGAGGCGCTGGCTCCAGCTCTGCTCCCTGCCTGTTGTGTGGGAATTTGCATTTGTCCTGGTGGCGCTTTGCTGGGGCCTGTGGTCAGCCGTCGTTTGCATGGAGACTTCCTCATCCTGTCTGGGGAAGGGGCTCGGCCCCCTCCCCTGGCCCAGCTGGCTGGCCCTGCAGGGTGGGCTGGGTGGCCCCGGGCTCCTGGGTGGCCCAGGAGGTGGAGGCCCAGAGCCCAGGCCGGGCAGGTGTGCGGGGCGTCAGCGGGCCTCCAGTTCCCCCATCCCTGCGGTTGGAAAATGCCCCCCTCCGGCCGGGCTGAGGAAACCTCACCACCTCACTTCTCACTCTCTCCCCAGAAGTTTTGTGTTTTTTCCATCACGTGGTTTCCTGTGGGGCTGGGCATCTGGGGCTGCAGTTTCCTCCTGGGAAGGGGGGTGCGGGGAGAGGCCCGGTTCTGCTTTCTCCCGGGCCCCTATGCGCCCCTGTGAACGGGCCTCCCTGGCCTCAGCCCGTGCCTTCCCTGTGGGCGTCTGCGTCCTGCTCCATCCTGTCCTCCCCCCTTCTCTGCATGTGGCCTCCCTGCCTCCTCTGCCTCTGCTCTTTCCTAGCCCAAACTGGCACCTCCTGGCCGCTGTCCCTCAGCGCTGTCCCTCCAGATACCCCGGATTTTACCCACCTTTCTGCCCTAAGCTTTCAAAGCCTGGTTAGAACCTTTTCTTTTTTTTTTTTTTTTTTTTGTACTGGGGATCAAACTTGGGTCTGCGCTCGTGTAGCAGGTGGCGAAACCACTGAGCTAAATCCCGGGCCCTTTTTTCTTATTTTTTATGCTGGGGAATGAACCCAGGGCGTTGGCCATGCTGAGTACAAGCATGCTGTCCTATGGCCAGGAGTTCCCATTGTTCGAACAGTCCTTTTCCAGGACTAGGGATTGAACCCAGGACCTCTGCAGCGAGCTACATCCCCAGCCTCTACCCCTTTAAATTAAAAAAAAGAAATTTTTTTTTGGAGACAGGGTCTCACTATATAGTCCAGGCTGGCCTTGAACTTACTATTAGCCTGGGCTGGCCTTGAACTTGTGGCAGTTTTCCTGCCTCAGCCTCCCAAGTGCTGGGAGTACAAGCATGCACCACCATACCTGGCGAATTTTTACATTTTTCAGAGTCTTGGCAAATTGCCCAGTCTGGGCTTGAACTTGGGATCCTCCCGCCTCAGCCCCCCAGAGTGCTGGGGTCACAGGCTGGATGCCACCCCTGGCCTGGTTAGAACAGCTGAGGTTTTCTCCTGTCACTCAGGTCAGGGCCTGGGTGCGGATGCTCAGGCTGTCTCTTCTGTAAAATGGGGACAACAGCTGCCTCTCAGCCTTCTCTCCCAGTCCTCTGGAGCAGTAGCTGTGACCACCGCAAGCATGGCCACGCCTGCTTTTTCCTCCGCACCTATTAAGACAGCAGCGGACCTAGATGTGGTGGGGATTTGAGAGTGGCTGGCAGGGTGGGAGGCACTGCACTGGCCCCAGTCTGGCCGGCCCTCATGGCCCTGCTTCCCAGGTGGTACCATGGGCACATGTCGGGGATGCAGGCGGAGGCGCTGCTGCAGGCCAAGGGTGAGCCCTGGACCTTCCTGGTTCGCGAGAGCCTCAGCCAGCCCGGGGACTTCGTGCTGTCAGTGCTCAGTGACCAGCCCAAGGCCAGCATGGGCTCCGCACTCAAGGTCACCCACATCAAGGTCATGTGTGAGGTGAGGCGCCTGGGCAGGCGAGGGCCTGCTGAGCTTGGACGCAGGGTCCAGGGAAGGAGGCTTGGGCCCTGACGGGGCCTGCTCCGCACCCCAGGGTGGACGCTACACGGTGGGCGGCTCGGAGACCTTTGACAGCCTCACAGACCTGGTGGAGCATTTCAAGAAGACGGGGATTGAGGAGGCCTCAGGTGCCTTTGTCTACCTGCGGCAGGTAGGTGAGGGGCGCCCCCTCACCCCCGGGCGGACTCCCCAGGTCTCTAAGCTGCCACTGCTGTCCTCACCCACCAGCCTTACTATGCCACTCGGGTGAATGCAGCCGACATTGAGAACCGGGTCTTGGAGCTGAACAAGAAGAAGGAGTGGGAGGACACGGCCAAGGCTGGCTTCTGGGAGGAGTTTGAGGTGCGCGACAGGGATGGCAAGGCTGGGATAGCTGGGCAGTGGCCAGCGTGGCGGGGTGCCAGGGGGAACCCCGATAGCGCTGCAGCCCGTCCCCAGCCCAGGCTGGTGCTTGTGTTTCCCCTTGCCTCTCAGAGTCTGCAGAAGCAGGAGGTGAAGAACTTGCACCAGCGGCTGGAAGGGCAGCGGCCGGAGAACAAGAGCAAAAACCGTTACAAGAACATTCTCCCCTGTGAGCACCGCTGCCCACCAGGCCTTCGCGCCTCAGTCTCTCCCGCCCCTGAGCGTCCCCCGCTGGCCCAGCTCTCCTTCCTCCAGAAGCCTCTTCCGGGGACCCTTCCCTGCTCCCACGCCCTCATGATCCCCAACCCCAGGCCCAGCCACCCCTGCCACCCACAGCCCTCTGTAAGCCCCAGGCCTGGCACGCAGCGAAGTCCCCTTAGCTTAGGAGATGCCTGTGCTGGCTGCCAGCCACTTCCCTTCTCTCTGCCTGCCCGCTGCAGTTGACCACACCCGCGTGATCCTGCAGCGACGAGACAGTAGCATCCCCGGGTCCGACTACATAAATGCCAACTACGTCAAGGTCTGTGGCAGGAGCTCCCTGACCGAGCTGAAGCTGGCGTCTGGGGCAGTGGTGGAAGGAGGAGGCTGGGGCTCAGGCCTGGGACGCCTGTCTCTGCACTTGCACCCAGAACCAGCTGCTAGGCTTGGACGAGAGCTCTAAGACCTACATCGCCAGCCAGGGCTGCCTAGAGACCACGGTCAACGACTTCTGGCAGATGGTGTGGCAGGAGAACACACGCGTCATTGTCATGACCACCCGGGAGGTGGAGAAAGGCCGGGTAGGCGCAGTCCCCGCTAGAGACAAGGTGTCCCCGAACTCTGTGACTTCCAGACTCCTGCTTCCCACGTGGGCTCCAGGTTTGAACTGAGGCTGGGGTGCCGCTCAGTGGGAGAGCACTTGCCTGGCATGTGAGGCCCTGGGGCCTCTGCCCAGCACTGGCCAGTCTTCCTGCTGGAGGACTCAGCTGACGGTGACCTCCTCTGTGCAGCCTCCTGGCATAGCCTGCAGCCCAGGGTAGGGTCAGCCTCTGCCTGGCCACGTGCCCGAGCAGCGTGTGCCGTCTCCTGTCTCAGCGGGTGCCTTGAGGCAACAGGCTGTGCTCAGTGTCACACTTGTTTCATGTTTTCTTTTCCTTTTTTGTTTTTTGCTGCTGGGGATCACAGCCAGGACCCCGCATGGGCCAGGCAAGTGCTTGACCAGCCCCTGGTTGCGTGTGCAGCCCGTCTGGTCTGAACCTTTAGCAGTATGGGGTGAACTGCAGGTTTGGTGGCTGCTCGTTAGCGGTCTCAGGTAGACCCAGTCTCCTGACTCGGCTGTGCACCGTCCATGGCACGTCTGGACCTTGCAGGGACCAGGACCCAGCATAGAGTCTGCAGCTGCCCCGGCACCCCACTTCTGGGCCTCAAGCTTGCCCCGCTTTTCAGAACAAATGTGTCCCCTACTGGCCGGAGGTGGGCACTCAGCACGCCTATGGACACTACTCTGTGACCAACTGTGGAGAGCACGACGCAGCCGAGTACAAACTCCGCACCCTGCAGGTGTCCCCGCTGGACAATGTGAGGCCCTGCCCGCCCGCCCGCCTGCCCGCCCGCGGCCCTGCTGGGATGGGGCAGGATGGGTGTGGTTGGGAGCAGGCCGGACCCTGTCTGTGTCCTTGGCCCAGGGGGACCTGATTCGGGAGATCTGGCACTACCAGTACCTGAGCTGGCCTGACCATGGAGTGCCCAGTGAGCCTGGGGGTGTCCTCAGCTTCCTGGACCAGATCAACCAGCGGCAGGAGAAGCTGCCCCATGCTGGGCCCATCATTGTGCATTGCAGGTGAGGGCGACATCGGGCCAGGACAGGGAGACACCACCTGCCAGTGCCTCCCTCCCCGGCCACCTGGCCCTGTGCTGGGTGTTAGATGCCGCTCGGCCTCCAGATTGCACCCTGCCTGGCACTGGGTTGGGGAGGCTGGGCTCCCATTACAGTCGGCTCAGGCCCTGGCTCCCCGATGCCCCTCGGAGTCTCAGGCCAGGCCCTTCTCCGCCTCCCCCTGGGCTGATGTGGACCTCCACCCTCTGCTTCCTCCCTTTGTGGTCCAGGGGCTTCATTGCTCCTTCCTGAGCCCCCAGGGTTGTACAGGGACGGTGACTGTCATAGGTGGGGCGTCGAGGCTCAGCAGGGGTCCTGCAGACAAGCTTCCCAGCAGCCTGGCAAGGGCTGCAGGTAGTCAGGGCCCCGGCCAGGGGATGCTTGAAGTCAGGCTTCTCCACTTCCCAGCTGGATTCTTGGACAAATTAACCTCTCTGCCCCAGACTCCTCATGTGTGAACTCAGGCTCCTGGGGTGTGGGGTGTAGAAGACCCCATCTCTGTGTCTGGGAAACTCCCTGGGGGGTCCGTCAGGCCAGGATGGGGAAATGGGGACGAGCCATGTCCTCTTCTCTTCCTTCTCCCTCCCTGTGACCCCAGACTTCCTCCTCCCCCGGAGCTGGCTGTGCTCAGTGCGGAGGTCAGGTCAGGTCAGGTCAGGTCTGGAATGGCCTCCCTGCCGTCTGGCCGGGTCTGCTCTCCGCCTTGCCGTAGCCGGGCTCAGGAGCTACCCTCCTGTCCGCCTGCCATTCACACACTTCTGAAATCCCCCCGGCCTTTATTTAGACCTTATAGGAAGGAAGTGGGTGAGAGGAGTTATTTTTGACAATGTGGGTTTGAAATTAGACAGCGACTCAGCGCCAGCCTGATGCCCCAGCCCGGGGCCTCGGGCACCACGTCTGTGTGCGTAGCGTGGTGCAGGGAGATGGAAGGAGGGAGAGCCCTGTGGCCCGCTGCTCCAAGCTTTGCAGCCCCAGTGCCCCAACCCCAGTCCCTGGGGCTGGGGAGGGTTTGAAGAAAAAGGTGAAGGGAAGTTCTCAGAAAGAAGAGGCAGCTTCCCTTTCTTTTGGTCCTGGGGCTGGAACCCAAGGCCACTGAGCTGCACCCCAGCCCATGAGCTCGGGATGGTGGGCGGAAGGCGCTGGGCGGCCACCAGTCCACAGTGGGAGTCAGCAGGAGCGGAGGTGGGGGGCGTCTGGGGGCCCTGTGTCCGTGCGTCCATCTGGCGGTGCCCCAGAGCCCCGCCCGTGCCTGTGAACCCCTTGGCCTGGGCGCACGTCCGCTTGGCCCGAGCAGTGACCGGCACGCTGCCCCGACGGGGTCCTCCCTCCGCAGCGCGGGCATCGGCCGCACGGGCACCATCATCGTCATCGACATGCTCATGGAGAGCATCGCCACCAAGGGTGAGTGCCGGGCGCTGGGCAGGTGGGCTCCCCGGCCTCCGCCAGCCCTGCCCCACTGAGCTCCGGGCTGCCCCAGGGCTGGACTGCGACATCGACATCCAGAAGACGATCCAGATGGTGCGGGCACAGCGCTCGGGCATGGTGCAGACAGAGGCGCAGTACAAGTTCATCTACGTGGCCATGGCCCAGTTCATCGAGACCACGAAGAAGAAGCTGGAGGTGATGCAGGTGAGTGCGGGCCGGGCGCGGAGGCGGCCTGACTCCGGAGCCCCAGGACCCCCGACCATGGCCGCTGCCCTCTGCCCACAGTCCCAGAAGGGCCAGGAGTCGGAGTACGGGAACATCACCTACCCGCCCGCCCTGAAGAGCGCCCACGCCAAGGCCGCCCGGACCTCCTCCAAGTGAGTGCGTCCGCCTGCGCCCCTGTGGGTGTGCGCCCCACGGACCTCGACCTCACGCCCGCACCCTGCCCACTGCCCACTGCCCGCAGACACAAGGAGGACGTCTACGAGAACCTGCATGGCAAGAAGAAGGAGGAGAAGGTGAAGAAGCAGCGATCCTCGGACAAGGAGAAGGGCAAAGGTTCCCTCAGGAGGAAGTGAGCAGGCCTGGGGGTGGCCGAGGTACAGGGCCGCCCTCTCTGCCCACAGCTGCAGCTCTGGGGCCTGCTAGGCAGTCCCAGTCCCGAGCTTCCTGTGCCCTTCCAGGACGCAGCCGCCCTGACTCCTCCCCTCCCCAGCCTCCTCCTGGCCAAAGAGGCCTCTGGTGGGGCCCCAGGCCCACACCAGAACCCAGGCCCCTGTTGGCTGTAATTTAACGCCCGCCTCCTCTCCCTGAGCCTGTCCACAGCCCAGCAAGGCCCCAGGCACAGGCAGGCCCTTCTGTTCTTGTAAATAAAGTTTGCCAATCACTGTGCTGCAGGCTCTGTGTGCCTCCTTGGCCAGGGACTCCAGGTGGGTGGGGCCACGTGGGGCCTCAAAAACGGCTTTTGGGTCAGGTGGACCTGGTTCTGGGGCTGCTGCACACAGATTGTGGTGTGGGCCAGATGTCACAGTCTGCCTGTCCTTTCTTCCTTCCTCTGTTTTTGTTTTTTGAGACAGAGTCTCACTATGTAGCCCAGGGTGGCCTCCAACTCCGGGCGATCCTCCTGCCTCAGCCTCCCGATGCTGGGATTAATAGCCATGCACCACCACACCTGGCCCTTTCTTTTTCTCTCCTTCCTTTTTTGCTTTCTTCTCCCCCGCCCCCGTCTTTCCTTCTGGAGTGCTGGAGTGCTGGGGATAAAAGCCAGGGCTAACCCAGGGCTCTACCACTGACTCACACCCCCAGCACTCTTCTTTGAAATGGAAAATGAAGTGTGGAAAATATTATGAACATGCTGCGGTGGGAGAAAGGGCCTTCCTGCCGCCTTATCTCATTTCACTGTTAACCCTTTCCTATGTAGATATATATATATATATTTTTTGGTACCAGGGATTGAACTCAGGACCTTGCGTTTTCAAGGCAGGCAGTGGCACCACTGAGCTAAGTGCCTGGCTCCTCCTATGTAGATATTTGACATTTCCACTGAATACTATAAATTGTCTTTGTCTTATTATTATTGTTATATTTTGGTTTTTTTGGTACTGGGGAATTGAACTCGGGTCCTTGCACTTGCGCAGCAGGTGGTGAAACCACTGAGCTAAATCCCCGGCCCATGTATATATATTTTTATTATTTTTAAAAAATGTTTTCCTAATTAAAATTGCTAATAAGTAGCCTTCAATTGTTTAATTATATTTTTATAAAAAGTTTTGCAGAGTTTGGGATAAGCTGTACCTTAGACTACTAAACTAAGTATTGTACTTTATTTTTTAAAATTTTTTGGTACTGGGGATTGAACTCGGGTCCTTGTGCTTGCGCAGCAGGCGGCAAAACCACTGAGCTAAATCCCCAGCCCTAAGTATTGTACTTTAAAAAATTTATTTAAATAAAATGTAGTCTATTAAAAAAATGGATCATCCTAATTCACCCCCTCCCCAGAGTGGCAGTAAAGACTGCAGTTTACGCATGACAACAGCAATGGTAACCCCTAATTCCTTACTGCTGTCCACTTGCTGGCACTGTTTAGACTTCGGGATTAAGTCATGCTAGGAACCCTTCTGATTTCTGGTGCTGGGGATGAACCCAAGGACATGCAAACGCTGGGCACTCGCTCACCACTGAGCTCACCCACAGCTCCACCCGTGGGAGGGACAGTGGAGTAAACTGAGGCACAGAGATCAGATGACTCATGGTCACAGTGCTTCTGGGCTTCGAAGCCGAGGTTTTAACCCAGGCCATTGGACCTTCCCCTCCTTACCCTGGGGACACTGCTGGGCCGGAGAGGGACACAGCACACCCTCCCAGATCCAAGCACTGAGATGGCTGGGCCGAGCCCCACCCTCCCCTGCCTGGGCCTGCAGGGACACATGGGCTCCTGTCCCCTGGTTCTTTCTCCTGGGCACACGAGGTTATCTAGAGGGCAGCGCCGGGGTGCTGGGCTGGCGGGAGACAATCCGGGGAAGGCTGAGGCTGAGGAGAAGGTGGGTCCGGGCCACAGGCCCGAGTCCTGGGCCTGTGCCCAGCAGTGCCACATCAGCTCCATCCTAGAACCCCGAGACTGACCTGTCGGGGGACACAGGCAGAGTGTCCCAGGCAGGTAATTACCGACAGGTACGGAGAAGGACGCAAACAAAGGGAGGCCAGAGCAGGAAGGGGCAGGGATTGGGCAACACAATAGCTCCCCGAGCGGTGGCCCCGGGTGGGGTGGGGGTGGGGCCGTCACCTGGCCTCGGGGCCCCTCTCCCAGCAACGCCTGAGCAGCTCTGAAGAAAGGCAGAGTCCCACCCTCCAACCGCCCTGGGCCAGCTGCCCTTGGGCTGGGACCTGGACTCCAGGACTCGCTCTCCCGAGGGGTGGCTGGAAGGACAGGACAGCAGGCAGTAGGAAGGCTGGGTAGGGCTCAGGTGGGCCGCTCCTGGTGTGGTGTGGTGTAGGCAGCCCCCTGCAGGGCAGGCCCCACTCTCCCCCACCCTTGGTGGTGCCCACTGGCCACCCTACCGGCAGACCCCACACTGACCTCGGGAGCCTGTCCTCCACACAGGACAGCGTCTCTGCTCCTCTGGAGAGGGGAGAGGAAAAACAGGTAGGCGAGGGTGGGGAGCCCTGCAGGAGCCGGCTGGGAGGGAAGGGGTTAAGGCTGAGGGGCAGCCTATGGCAGGAGGACACACCTGTGCGCAGGGCGGGCCGGCCCAGGTGAGGCCCGGGCTGTGGCGGGTGGAGAAGGAAGAGGAAGAGCAGGCCAGGCGGGCTGCAGGCCCCTAATCAGGGCCTGGTCGCCCGCCTGGTCTCCACATCCATCTCTGGGGGGCAGACGGGCCTGGCGACAGGTAAAGGCCCCCGGGCAGGGGTCCTGGGGCTGAGGGCCAACAAACTGTCAACTGGGGGCAGGCCAGGCCAGGGGAGTGGCAGAAGAAGGGGCCAGAGGCGTGGGCAGAGGGGTGGGGGGCCGGGGAGACCGGGGTGCCGGTGGGGCCGCAGGGGGCTTGGGCTCACCCGGAAGTGGGCCAGGTGTGGGGGAGGGGCGGGCCTGGGCCTGCGGGCGCCTGGGTGGGGGCCCTCGTCTTACCCCGCAGTGTTTGGGTGCTGGCTGGGTCTCTAATACTGCCGGGTAATGATGGAGGCCCCTGTTCCCGCAGCGGCGCCACCTCCCTTCAGGCCCTGGGGCCCAAGGCGCCCCCCCCCCCCCGAAGCCCGTCTTGGGCTGAGGGTGCTGCAGAAGAGGTGGTTCTGGGCCGGCTGGCTGCCCACTGGGGGACAAACGGCCCACTGCCCCTGCCGCGTGATCTGTCATCCTGTGGGTGCAGAGCCCACAGCCAGCGTGGAGCCTGGGCCGGGGTCGCCACAGCCCGGAGTGCGCGCTGGCTGGCTCTGGGCCCATCTTCCAGCACAGTGTTGGATGGTCTGACTGTGAAGCTCCTAACACTGTCTGGTAAAGATGGCTCCCGTGCCGGCGCCTCGGCTGTGACCTCCCAGGAGCCCTGGGACCTTGGAGGCCTCCTGATGAGCCGCCTCTGACCTTACCCTCCGGGTGCAGGGGGCCACTACCAGGGACACTGGGAAGGAGACAAAATGGCTGCCCAGGAGCGCAGCGAGCCCTGGACAGACCGGGCCTCAGCTCCTCCACGCCTCCCTAACCTGGGACCAGCGGGCTCATCCAGTGTCTCATCTTAGGTTTCCTGGAACCCGGAAGCGCCGATGCCACACCTGCTTCAGGTCCCTTCCCTTTCCGACATTCCACCCACATAGCCAGGAGAAACTAATCTGCTTCCTTTGGCCAGCTAAGGAGCCGAGGATTCCCCATCCTCCAGCCCTGTTCGGACCCAGCTCTCCCTCCAGTTCCTGGACCCCCGCCTCTCTTTTGGTTCCGTCTCCCCAGGACACGGCAGGACGCGGGCGGGTGTGTGCGTGACCCAGGCGGAGGCCGCCTGGGGAGGTCCGGGCGCGCACTCCCAGGTCCAGTCCCAGGCAGCGCCTCCTCCACAGGTGGAGGCCCCGCAGTCCCCCCCCCCCCAATCCGGTGACCTCGGGACAGAGGGCGCAGAAGGCGAGGAACCTACTGGGCTTTGGGCCGCCTCAGGGAAGCCTGTTTCGGAGGAGGCAGGAGGCGGCGGCTCCCGGGGGTCATCGGGTTTTCCGTCCGGCTCAGCAAGGCTGCAGCTGCTCCAGCCTTAAACACGATGTTGGTAAACGACGGCGGTGTGATGAGGGTCATAGGTGGTGCCCGGCTGCGAGGCCTGCTCCTCCCAGCCTTCCAGCCCCGCCAGGTGACCCCCGGGGGCGAACTCCCCGCGCCCCCTGCTGGAGGCCCGGAGACGCAGCGCGCATGCGTGAGCCACGCGGATACGGAAGACCTTGACCTCGGCTTCAGTAATAAAAGTTTATTGAGAATTCCTGGGTGGTGGTGATCTCCTCCCACCTGGGGGTGGGAACAACACTGTAGGAAATCACTGAGAAGTCACAGTCCTGACACCCGGCCGACTCGGGAGGGGGCAGTCACCCCCAAAGGCCGTCGTCTTCTGTCTCCAGGGGCAGGTGCGGGGCCGTCACGTGTCACAGGGTGCAGCTCAGAACCCAGAGAAACAGCCACATCCTCTGGGGGCAGGCGGCGGGCAGGCTCACTTCTTACCCTTGATGAGACTGTCGCTGTGAGCGGGAGGGAGGGAGAGGGGTGAGCTGCGGGGCGCACACCCTGCGGGACCCCAGAGCTCGCAGGACGCACACAACTCACCTTCCCCTGTGGACGCCAGGCAGCAGGGAGACATTCACATGACTCACAGCTCAGGCCCTAAGACCTGTCCGGTGGCAGCGCTCGGCCTGCTGCTTCCCGGCGCGCGCCACGCACAAGTAGCAGTTCCGGGACCCCCGCACCTCAATCACGGGGTGGTCACACACACATTGCCATTAAAGCGCTTTACGGAGTAAAGTCAGCCCTATGGGTTGCAAGACAGGAAGCGGCAGCCCCCTGGCGCCCCTGGTTCTGAGACAGAAATCTGTCCTGTTCACTCGAGTGACTCAAACCCGCCCTGCGCACCTGGACCTCTCGCCGAGCACACGCATTGCTCACCGGGTGAAGCTCTCATCCTGCAGGTTCAGCACCAGGTTGTCGGCGGTGAGATAGATGCGATTCTGCGAGGTGGCGATCTGCAAGGCGACAGTGAGGCACACCACTGTTAGCAAAGCCCTCAGAGGCAGGTATGGCATGCACACCTGTGATCCTGGCCTGCTGGCAGGCTGAGGCAAGGATCCCAAGTTGAGTCCAGTCTGCCAACTTGGGGAGACTCTGTCGTCCCCACCTGCGATGTAGCTCAGTGCCAGGGAACAAAAACAAAGCCCCCGATTCCTAACCCTGCTATTCAAAATCCACTTGGTGCAGTGGCACTGGGTCTTGTCCTCCAGAAGCAAAGCAGTTAGTGCTGACTGGGATTAGCCTAGGGACCTTCTGGATGGGACGGGCCAGAGAAGCCAGTTTGGGCAGAAATCCAAGCAGGCGAGAACCTCACTCTGAAGTGTGTTTTCTTTTTGGTTTTTTTTTGGTACCGGAGATCGAACTCCGGTCCTTGCACTTATGCAGCAGGCAGCGAAACCACTGAGCTAAATCCCTGGCCCCTCTGAAGTGTGTTAGTGAGGACACCTTCACTCCAAGGTGGCCAGGACCAGGTGCGGGACTCTCACCGTCTTGGAGATGTTCTGGGCTGCCCGGATCTTTCGGAGCTTGATGTAGCCGGGGTTCTTGCTCAGGGCTTCTCCAAGGTGAGCAGGGCTGGGTTAAGGGTCCACACGGCCAGGCCTGGCCTCAGCCCAACCCATCCACACCCCCGTCAGTGTCCTCCGGGCCGTCAGATCCAAGCCTGTGCTCACGAAGCTTCTGCCCACCAACCCCAGCCCCGCCTGTGGGCCTCCCCAATGGCCACTGCCAGGAGCCAAAGGCAGCAGCAGACATGAGGGGAGGCCAGCAGTGCTATGGATCTAGCCTACCGCGGGGAGCCTGGCCTTGGGTGTCCCCACCAAGATCCCAGATCCCACCTGCAGCCCCCCGCCTGGGAGCCATGGGCAGAGCCTGAGTCACATTCGCCTTGGTCTCATCAGCCGGCCCAGCGGGGCACAGGCCAGCAGGGTGCCCTGGGGGAGGGGCCAAGCACTTGGTGGCAGGATATCATCTTGGCAGCCTCTGCCTCACCCTCCGCCTGCACGATCTTCTGCCGCTGTTCCTGCTTTGCTTTTTCCACCAAGAACTGGGCCCGCTGGGCCTCCTGCTGGGCTGTGGCATGAGAGTTAAGAGTCAGGGACACGACCGGGACCTCCAACACAGGACCCGCCAATCCCCGTCCCATCCCTCTTGCAACTCACCCACTTGTTTGGCTTCCACAGCAGCTGTGTACTCCCGGCTGAAGCTCAGCTCCGTGATGGCTACGTCATCCAGAATGAGGCTGAAATCCTTGGCCCTCTCTGTCAGCTCCCGGCGGATCAGCAGGGACACCTGGGGGCAGGGAGGGGGCGGTTTGAGGGGGCCAGAGAACTGGAAGACTGTGGCTGTGACCATCTAGGGCTGGGGATTTAGCTCAGTGGTTTCGCCACCTGCTGCACAAGCGCAAGGAACTGAGTTCAATCCCCAGTACCAAAAAAAAAAAAAGTGAACCATCTGACCCCAGAATCTGAGGATGGTGGCAACTCATAGCCCAGTTTAGTTTCCCAGATGCTCACTAGGCTGCCTGAGTGGGCCGGGACTTGGTTTGGTCTTTTGAGAGGTGGATGACACAGCCTCAGGGAGGTGGCCTCACTGCCCCAGGGCACACTGACTCCTAATCACCCACTCTTTCCAGTATAAGCAGCATCTTCTCAGCTTCTGCTGGGCAAGCCCAGAGGTGAAGGAACGAACATCTGGGCTTTGTCATTCGTCTCTTCCCGAGCTTCCTTCCTACCCTGATGGCTACAGGCTTCTGGCACTGGTTCTCCTTATATCCTACCAGTGGCAGTCAGCATCACTTTGAATGGAAATGGAGCCAGAGCACCAGCACGCTGCCTGTAGGGGACTCAGACCTGGGCCCGTTGGGTGATCAGCTGTGATGCATTGAACTTGGCCACCACGCTCTTGAGCACCTCGTTGACAATGGACGGCAATACTCGCTCCTCATAGTCCAGCCCCAGGCGCTGGTACATGGTGGGGAGCTCCTGGGCATTGGGCCGGGACAGCACACGCAGGGAGATGTTCACCATCTGCAGGTCTGAGGCAGAGGCCATCAGGGGCTGGTCAAGGGCACCCCTCGCCCGCATTCTGCTTCCCGTGCTTCTAAGCCAGTGGTGACGAACCTATGGCACGCGTGTGGCAGCAGGCAAGCAGAGCCCTGTTGGCATTCGAGCTAGTGCCCTGACCCTGAAAGTGGGTAGCTGAAATATATGCATTTAGAAAACTACATTTGCGGGCCGGGGATGTAGCTCAGTGGTTCCGCTGCCTGCCTCGAAAGTGCAAGGTCCCAAGTTCGATCCCCAGTACCAAAAACAAAACAGAGAAAATTACATTTGCAGGCAGTCCTGCAAGCCATCAGGAAATCTGCAAGGCATTTTGTAGTATTGTAGCTGCTACAAAGAAGGACTTTAGTAACAGGATTCTACAGTTCTGTAAGATGAAGACAACCCTGTTTTCTTCTCCAGGAAAGCCAAATTTGAAGAACTTAATCTTTCTTCCTTACATTGATTAGATTTTGGAAATCAGGACATAGAACTACTGGAATTTCAAGAAAGCAGAAATTTAGAACACCTGCGTGCAGCACTTGGGAAGCTACAGTCTGAAGCCCGGACAAAGGACAGCACAGTGGGTAGTTCTGAAGTCCTCGTGGAATTCTCTGCCAAATACTTTTAAGTCAGTGGGAGTGCTTGGGATCGTTCTTACTTTGGATCATTTTATGCTTGTGAGCAGCTGAATTGTATCAAATCAGATACAAGAAACACTAACAGATGACCTGAGTGTTGCTCTCAAACTAACGCAGTATGAGTTAAGGTTTGACAAATTATAAGCGTGCATACAACAGCAGAGACCACACTATGCAAAAACATGCCAAATGCAAACTTTTACTTTTTGATAAAAGTATCATTGAAAGCTGTTACTGTGTTTTTCTTTTAAGACAAAAGATGTCAATGTAGAAGTTTTTCTAAACTACAACCTCTACTCCCGTTTAACTGCAGTGTTGGCACTTGTGAGATAAGCGGGTTCTAGGTTGCAGTTTAGGCACTTGGTCTCTAAGAGGTTTGCCATCACTGCTCTAAGCCTACGGCAATGCTGCATGGCCTCACACTGAATCCTGCTTCTGTCCCTGGGGTCTGTACAATCTGATTCGAGCTCTATCACAAAGGGTCATAATCACCTGCCTCCTTTCCTAGACTACAGGGAGCTAAGGACAAAGACTGGCTTTTTTTTTCTTTCAATACTGTGAATTGAGCCCAGGGTCTTTGCACTGAGCTACATGCTCTATTTTTATGGGGGGTTTTTGGTACCAGGGATCGAAATCGGGACCTTGTGCTTGTGAGGCAGGTGGCAGAACCACTGAGCTAAATCCCCAGCCCTATTTTTATGAGACAGGGTCTTGCTGAATTTTAAATTGCCCAGGTTGGGCTTGAACTTGCAACCCTCCTGCCTCAGCCTCCTAGAGTGCTGTAGAGTGCAGGGATAATAGGTGTGCACCACTACATCCAGCAAGGATTGTGTCTCATGGATCCATTTTTCCGAGGGCTTAGGGCTTCACAGTACAAAAAGTACATTACTGGTTATAGTGAGCTACTTGCCTCAAAGTGTACATGCAATGTGTTAACGTGAGAGAACGAGTTGGGACTGGAGAATCTCGGGAGCACAGCTTTTAGGTGTGGACTGCAAGGAGAGAACTAAAAAGAGTGGAAATAAGCTTCTCCAGGGCAGGCTATGCCAGTAACTGAATGAATTAATAATTCAGCACAGAAAATGGCTCTAAAAACAAGGCTTTGACTTGAACAGTCACTTAAAAAAAAGAGCAAACAATATTCCTGTTACGTTTACATTAGGGTAGGCCCACTGTGAATAGGCAGTGAGCGGGAATGTATTGGTTTAACCTCAGGACTCAGGCGCTTTTGCAGACATGGAAAGCCAAACCACGAGACCCCCGCACTACCATCTTCCCCCAAGTAGCCGGTGTCCCTTGTTTACCTGTCACATGTCTCCTAGGCGCCCATGCTTACCTTTGGAGCCTGTGGGGGAGGAGATTTTTCGGGGTCTGGCCCGAATGTCATAGATAATGGGGTACTGGAACCAGGGAATCCTAGAGAGGAGAGGGAAGGGGTAGGAATCAGGAAACTGCAGTTTCGCTAACTCCGTCCAGTTCGCCTTCACCACTTGCTTTTGGTTTGGTCCTCCCAATAAGAACGGTTTACGTGCTGCAGGAGTTTCAGCGGCACCCACTGTCCTGGAGCGGGCCGGGGTGAGGGGAGAGAGCAGCGGAGTCGAGGGTGAAGCCCAGGCTCAGCCTGTTCTGCCGCCGTTACCTGAAGTGAAGGCCCTCCGCCAGGATGGTGTCCTGCTGCACGCCACCGATCCGGTTAAAGAAGATGGCTCGATGGCCGCCTTCCACTGTGGAGAGAAGGTCAGGCTCAGCCCGAAGCCCGGGCAGGGGCTGGGGCGGGGAAGGCAGCGAGCCGGAGGAGGCTGCTCACCGGTGAACACAGACTCGCGGACGCCATAGGCCACCGCGCCGGCACCCAGCAGCAGCTTCAGCGCCGTGCCCATGCCCCGGGGCCCGGCGGGCAGGCGTCCCGCTAAGTCCTTCAGGTTCTGGGCCATGTCTGACCCCGTGGGCGGCGGCACCAGAGGTGAGGAGGGGGTGCTTGCACGCTTGTACCCCACTCCAGCCTAAAGTTCACAACTGCACACGAGGGTTTGGGCCTCAGCACTCCAGGGAGAAAAGGCACCGGAAGTGCGCGCCCTTCTAAACCCTTCCCCCGGCCTACGCCAGACCCGAGCCCCGCGCACAGGAACACGAATCCGGAAGTCCCGCCCCATTCTGGAACCCTGCCCTTTCTGGGAGGGTTCGGTAGCGCAAGGATACGAGCTATCACTTTCTCCCGGCGCCCACTTTCAAAATGGCATCCGGAAGGAAGTGTGTGAATGGGACGAGCGCGAGGTTATAATTAAGGACGTTGGCACGACTTCCGGTCTGGTGGCAAGATGGCTGCGCCCAGTGGTGGATTTCAACCTCGTGAGCGGAGGTTTGGTGAGCAGGACCAGGACCAGGACTGGGATGCTGCTGCTCCCAAGAGGCCCCGACTTGGGGCAGGAAGCAGGAGTGGAGGCCGCAGGCTCATTGTGGTGCTGGAAGGGGCCAGTCTGGAGACAGTCAAGGTAGTTTGGAGCAGGAAGTGTGGAACTAGTAGATTAATAGGCTATGATTCCGTAGGATAAGAGTGGGGGGCACTAAGTGGATGGAGAAAGCAGAAGTGAAAAATGTTTTTGGAGGAAAGGTGATGGATCACGTAGTTGGTTATCACTGGGTTTGACATCCTGGGTTGGCAGAACTGATTTTCTTGACTCCTATTTCAGCTCTCATCTCCTTGCTTTCGGTTGCTTTACCAGGGCTCCGTGATATAATACCATGTAAAGTCAGGGCAGTGTAGTCCATCAGGCCTCCCAGATTCCAGTCCAGACAGTACTGTAGCCTAGTTTGCCCAGCCTTTTATTTGTAAGAATTTGATGTTTCATTTCGTTGAAGGATTGCCACTGTTGTCCCTATTTCTATCCACCTTAAAACACTGCCTGGATCACAATTATTATTAATACGTCCATATCTTTTTTTTACTTATCATTTTTTTCTCCGGATGTAACAAAGCTAGCAACTCCCTGATTTAAAATCTTAATACTATAGCCGGGTGTGATGGCGCACACCTGTAATCCCAGCACTTACCAAGGCTAAAGCAGGAGGATCGAAGTGAGTTCGAGGCCAGCCTGGACCACAGAGTGAGACCTTGTCTCAACGGCCCCCCCAAACCAAACTTATACTGTGTCCTCATGTGCCATGTCTGTCCCTTACCCTTTAGAGCCAAACTTGTTCAGTGAGTAGGCCCAGAACTTTAATGTTTCTTAACACATTTTAATCATGTGATTTTGAGAAAATAAACTATTTCTCATTTTGTGAAGTTGGGATATACCTTAACTGTAAACCCCATAGGGGACTAATGAAAGTCTTTTAAAAGTAGTACATTTTCATAATAATCTAAGGTGAGATTCCTTCCCATCTCAGCCACTGTGACACTTCGTTAAGCTTGCAGGATGGACAACCTGTTTTAAAAATGATCAGCTAATAATTAGGATTCTTCTTCATTTTGTCCTGTAATTGGTATTTTAACCTAATTATAATGCTTCATATCTTTCTGTTAACTCTGAATGTTAATTTTGACATTTGTTGTCAATTTATCCCATATAACTATGTAATGTGCAAATGTGGAAAGCTTGTCGGTATCAGCAGTGTGTTTGAGAATGTAGACTTGCCTTAGATTGCCTAAAATCTACCTACTAGTTATGCGACCTTGGACAAATCACTTTAGTTACTTTAGGGCATAATAATGTTGGGAGGGATTAAAGGAATTAATTTGTATAAAGTTGTTGGAGTAATGCCTGGCACTTGGAATAAGTTAATGTGTAGGTATTTGAAATTACTTATTAAAAAGTTGAAAAGGGGGCTGGGGATTTAGCTTAGTGGTTTGGCCGCCTGCCTGCCTGCCTTGCAAGCACAAGGTCCCGAGTTCGATCCCTGGTACCAAAAAAAAAAAAAGTAAAAAAAGTTGAAAAGGGCTAGGAGTGCTGGCACACACTTATAATCCCAGCACTGTGGGAGGCTAAGGCAGGAGCAACTGAAGTTCTAGCCCAGCCTGGCGACTTAGTGAGCCAGCAAGACCCTTTCTCAAAAATAAAGAGGATGTAACTCAGTGTGAAGGCCCTGTGTTCAATCTCCAGCATCACAATAAGTAAAACCATCCCAAGAAATTGAAAAGGTTATGGCCAAATTTAAATTCCTAGAACATATTCTAGAAGAATTTAGGCCAATTTGTGAGGTGAACGAGGTAACCACTACACTGTGGAAGATGACAGGCCAAGTTCTCATTGCTGTATCTCAGAGATTAGAGAATTCATAGCCGGTTGGAAGCTTCATGAGGCTGTATCATGTCTTCCTTACACGAGCACCTGTTGTTGCTGCCAGTCTTTTTTTTTTTTGAGACAGGGTCCCTTTATGCAGTTCAGGCTGGCCTTGAACTTGAGGTGATCCACCTGCCTCAGTTTCCTGAGTGCTGGGATTATAGGCATGTGCCACCACGCCTGGCTACTTCTGCCAATTTCATCTGGCAAGAAGTCTTTCCATTTATTATTATTACTATTACTGTTATTATTGGTGTTATTGGGGATTGAACCCAAGGCCTTCTCACTGAGCTACATCTCCAACTCTTTTTTTTTTTTTTTTTTGGTTTTTTGAGACAGGGTCTTGCTGTATAGTTCAGGCTGGTTGTGAACTCACTATGTATTCCAGGCTGGCCTGGAACTTGTGGGCGATTCTCCTGTCTCAGCCTGCCAAATGCTGAGGTTACAGGCATGTGCCACCATGCTTTTGAGACAGGTCTTGCCAAGTTGCCCAGGCTGGGCTCAAATTTGCAGTTTTCCTAGCTCTCTGCCTCACTAATTATTACTTAGATGTTTATTCATTTTACAACTGAGTTTTTGTGGGGACACTCCTTCAGTTATTAAACCAGTGAATTGCTGGTTTTATACTATTCATAAAAATAAGGTCGATGTATTGAATGATAATCTGGTCTCGGGTCTGGGAGGTGGAGGGAAAGGGGGGTAACAGTGGATGACTCCTTGGTGTCACTCTCCCTTTAGAGCCCTTTAATAAGCCACTTAACTCTTTCATAACAATGTTTGTTAAAGTTTAAAGTGTTGATTGTTTACTGTTTGTGTCTGGGGGGGCTTAGAATAAGGTTTCAAACATTTTCATCCCCAGTACCTCTCATAGTCATTGACTGGAGTCATTGGTTAGTGGTTTTCAAGATTAACCCACGAAAAGGCTACATGTGAGCAAATAACATTCAGCTGTATGAAACCACGTTCCATAAACTATTATTACCATTACTATATGTTAAATACTTTGATGTTTTCTACTCACTTTTTTTGGTACCGGGGATTGAACCTCTGGTCTTTGCGCTTGCGAGGCAGGCAGCGGAACCACTGAGCTAAATCCCTGGCCCTGATGTTTTCTATTCTACCACAAGAACAAAACTCTGCTTATGTGCTAGGAATGGGTGGAACTGGCTATTTGGTGTGGTGGTGCATGCCTACAATTGGAGCTACTTGGGAGACTGAGGAAGGGATCGCAAGTTTCGGGCCAGCCTGAGCAATTGAGGGAGACCTTGTCTCAAAGTAAAATTTAAAACAGGGCTGGGATGCAGCTCAGTGGCGAGTGGGAGGCTGTGCTGGATTCACTCCCCAGTACTGGGGGTGCAGTCGGGTATTCTTTCCTTCTATGAAAGGGTTCCCCTGAATTTAGTCCTTGGTTCTTTGTGACATTCTTGTTATTTCCACTGCTCAGTTTCAAAATCTACATTTCTCTTCCCTCTAACTTCTTGAAGCCGTGTATCATGAGGTGTTGCAAGATATACAGCTATTCTAGTGATACATAAAACAGCCTCTTATGAGCTATATTTGTACTTGACAGTATGTTTTTAGACTTTTTACTCACATTTATTTATTTATTTATTTATTTATTTCCTGAGACAGGCTCTTGCTAAATAGTTCAGGCTGGCCCTGAACTCACTATGTAGCCCAGGCTGGCCCCCAGTGTGAGGTGATCCTCCTGCCTCAGCCTCCTGAGTGCTGGGATCACAGGCGTGTGGCACCACGCCCAGCTCTACTGACCATCCTTATGACTTGAATTTGGAATGTCATTCTTAGAGCTGTTATAGGTATAGTCAACTCTATTATCACACTTCTGGTTTCTTTTCTAGTATGCAGTTACCAGGGTGTTTCTGTCATTTCTATCACGCCCCTTTATTCTAGAATTATTTTTGGCTCTGGTTGATATCTGATGGTTCTGCAGTTTACAGAGCGATTTCCTGTGTCATCCCTGCCCGTCAGGATCCTGGTTCCATTGTCTCCCAAAGCTTCCTCTCCTGTTCCTGCTTTTTCTTGTTGGTACCTTTATTCACACTTGTCTTAGAAGAGGGAGCAACCCCTCCTTGGTTTTCTTCTTAGAGAAGTGTTCCTTTCAGGATCATGAGGATCGTCACACTTCTTGCTTGGATTTACAGCTCGTTATTTAGTGCATGTTTGTTTTAAGCAGACTCAGGGCAGGGGTTTTGTTGTTTTCCCAGGTGCCCACATGTTGCTCCTGTGCCCTGCTCACTCTCCTGGCCGAGCAGTGGGGCCTGAGGATTTGGCCGTGGACAGGTTTCCTGCTGCTCCGCTCTTCAGGGCTACACCGAGGACAACTGGCTGCAGAGGGAGCTCATGCGCTGTCCTCTCGCTCTGTTCTTCAGGTAGGGAAGACTTACGAACTACTCAACTGTGACAGGCACAAGTCTATGCTGCTGAAGACTGGGCGGGACCCCGGGGAAGTGAGACCAGACATAGCCCATCAGGTAACTGGGGCGCGGGGCTCCTGACCTGTGGAGAGGGGCAGCGGAGTGCTGCTGCTACCCCTCACTGCCTGCCCGCCATGCAGAGCTTGCTGATGCTGATGGACAGCCCGCTGAACCGTGCAGGCTTGCTGCAGGTGTACATCCACACGCAGAAGAACGTGCTGATCGAAGTGAACCCCCAGACCCGCATCCCCAGGACCTTCGACCGGTTCTGTGGTCTCATGGGTGAGTTCAGAATGACCTTGGCGGCGGCAGTGAGGAGGGGAGAAGGGGACACTACGGGGGAGTTCCTGAGCAGGACAGAGGAGCTGCTTTCCATGTGCGTGGAAATTCTGTCCTGCTCAGGGGAGCCTGTAACGGAGGGCGCCCAGCTCTCCCAGGTCCTTTGGTTAGACCACCGGGTGGGAGTGGAGTCACCACCTGGCTGTGGTTTTTAAATTTTGAGGCAGGGTCTTGCTATGTATTCTAGGCTGACCCTGAACTATGCAGTCCAGGCCAGCCTTAGATTTGGGGGGATCCTCCTGCCTCAGCCTCCCAAATGCTTCCACCTAGCTCTGGACTCTTCTTCCCCTCCTAGTTCAGCTTTTACACAAACTGAGTGTTCGAGCAGCTGATGGCCCCCAGAAGCTTTTGAAGGTGAGGCATTGGAACCCACTGCAGGGGTAGGGTTTGGGGGCTGTTCCTGGGGCTGATTTTCCTTTCTTCAGGTAATCAAGAATCCAGTGTCTGACCATTTCCCAGTTGGCTGTATGAAAATCGGCACGTCCTTTTCCGTCCCGGTCGTCAGTGATGTGCGAGAGTTGGTGCCCAGTAGCGACCCCATTGTTTTCGTGGTGGGGGCCTTTGCCCATGGCAAGGTAAGATTGGGCTCAACCCTTAGTTTCTCATAGAGCGAAGGCTCAGGAAGAACTCCAAGTGGTGGGCAGTTAGTCCTCACAGCCTGGGACTAGAGGGTAGGGTAGCAGCTAGAGGACAAATGAGAGTCCACTTCCTGTGCCAGGGAGGCTGCTGGCCTGTAGTAGAGTAGACAAAGCCAGATCTCTTTCCACTCAGCTCTCCGGAAATGCCAGCGTGCCTGTAGTCTTGCTTCCCTGAAGAAGGCTGGGCCTGCAGCGGCAGCTGGCTGACAGCTGTTGTCTCACAGGTCAGTGTGGAGTACACGGAGAAGATGGTCTCCATCAGCAACTACCCACTGTCTGCCGCCCTCACCTGTGCCAAGCTCACCTCGGCCTTTGAGGAAGCCTGGGGTGTGATCTGAAACCAGGGACCTGGTCCCACCCAGCCCTGCTTAGAACTGACCGCAGCCGCCGGCCAACCTTCCTGCATGGAGCCAGGAGCCCAGGGAGCCCGAGCTGTACATTTGCTCTTCATCAGTCCTATAAATGTGGCTTTTCCAAACCTGGCTGTTTTGGGGCTTCCTAGGGTTAGCAGTGTCTAATGGGGCAATGTGAGGTCAGGTGGCGCTTGTTCTTGGCTGTGAAAGCAGCCCCTGGATTCTCGTGCTCCAGAGACGACCCTGAGACTCCAGCCTCATGAGTAATGAGTACTGAGACCTGTGTGTGAAAGAAAGCAATCAGGGGTGCCAGCAGTGAAAAACCAAACAGAAGTGACTTTATCTGGTACAGTCCAAGATAGAAAAAGTGGAGCAGGTGGGCCCTCGCACCCTCTGCTCCCCCCATGGGGGCGGCACGGAGTCCCAGTAAAGTGGCAGAAGAACACAGCAGACTCCTGGCCAGAGGGGAGAGATAAGGCAACGTGCACGGGGGAGCTGAGGCCGAGGCCCCTGCTCCTCCCACAAGAGCCTCCCCTTTGGCCCTAAGACGAGGCACAGCTGGGCGCGCGGCTTCCGGCCCTGGCTTTCTCGTGCTCTGTGCTCTGGGCGAGGGAGTGCTGTAAAAGGGGCGAGTAGTGTCTGCACCAGTCCTGCTCGAGGCCACCTGCAAGGCAAGACGTGAGACTGCAGGCTGCTCACTGAGAGCCCGCCCATGCTGTCACCCGGAGGCCAGGCACTTTGAAGTCCACCCCTGGTTTCCACTTCTGTCCTTGCTTCCTGGTCTGCACCCCGTTAGCTCTAGCACAGCTGTAGGATATTTACCAGCAAAATAGGCTATTCCATTTTCTTTAACTTCTCTTTCCTTGGCACCATTGCTTTGTGAATGTAAGGCAATGTGAATAGTAGGCTCAAGAAGAAGACGTGGCCGAGAAAGTAGACAGACTTATACACCTGTGGCGGGAGAAGCCAGTGAGCAGGGCGTGGGAGCCCGAGCTCCCCAGGCTCTCGCAGCCTTGCCGGCGCCTTCACCTTCAGCCATTTGTCCCAGGTGAAGAGGCAGAAGGCGGTCATGGAGTAGCCCATGAAGAGCCAGTGGATGGTCTGCTGCACCACGTAGTAGAGGGGCTGCAGGGCGGTGATGGAGGCCAGGCTGCTGAGGGCCGGGCTCTCCTGGACGAGGGCGGCAGCCTGGGAGGGGGAGCACGTGTCAGTGTCTGGTGTGGTCCATCCCCCAGCCTGCTGCCGCCCCCGAGGCCCACCTGCTTTTCCACAATAACGATGAGGAACTCCATCTGGAAGCAGACCAGGTACCCTGAGTGGAGGCCATGCCACAGGGCCAGGAACAGCAACGAGAGACCATGGGACAGTTGTTTATTTCCGAGGAACTTGAGGCGTTTGAAGAAGTAACTAGGGGAGAGGGGTCGGATGAGCCACGGCCCATGCAGCAGGGCAGCAGCTGGCTGCTGGGAGGCAGGGTGACCGTGGCAAGCCACCAGCTTGCGGGGAATGACAGCCTGCCCAGTGCCTGTGCAGAATGTGCAGGGCCTTGGGGTGATCATTTTCAAGCTGCTGTGCCCGGTGGGGACAAGCAAGTAAGCGGTGAGCGGAGAAAGTGAGTAGTGGGGTGGTTAGCTGGGCTGTGGCCCCCTACGGGATGTTCCGGGGTATTGGGGGACACGTGAGTGACGTCCCTCCCTCACACTCTGGAGGGGCAGCAGGAGGAAGGAGCTGGGTCCTGCCCTCCCCACCAGCACCTACCGGGCCACCCAGGCGTTGGTGTTGATGTTGAAGGAGGCGATGGTGCCGCTGAACTGGGGGTTTGTCTCGAAGAGCCACACCTTCATGTTGGCACAGGCATCCCACTTGGGCTCTCCGTCCTCGCCAAAGCCGCTGAAGCCCAGCCCCGTCAGGATGCACACTCCTTCCTGAGGGGGCGACGGCTCAGGCTCCCGCCCCACCGCCCCACACCCGTCTGCACGCGAGCCTGGCCGCCGGGCAGTACCACTTACCGTGACCAGCCAACAGGTGACGTATTTGTACAGCACAAACTTGCCCCAGATCAGCATGTACAAGCAGCGGAACCAGAAAGGCCGGAGCTTGCGGGGAGAGGAGACGCAACACAAGTCCCCTTAGACTTGGCTAAGCCTGGCAGGGCCCTGCTGCCCCCGTGCCTGCCAGTCTGGCCTCACTGCCTGCCTGACAGGCCAGGCGGGGTGGTGGGGAGCCCCGGGACACCTGCCGCCTCATCCTTTCCTCACTGCAGTCAAGTGCTGGGGACCCTAGAGATGCGCCCAATCCGTGCCAACCTCCCCAGAACAGGGAGCCCTGCAGCTGGACAGGAGCTAATGCCAGGGTTTCCCCACTTCCTCTTGGACTTCCCAGAGGCCCCATCTGTCAGCCGAGAGAAGGAAATGCTGCCGACAGCCTGTGTTCTCCGAGGAGCCGAATGCACTTAAGCTGAGAGCTCTCGGGCGACCGGGGGACCAGCGTCCTGAGCGGCTGGCACTGACCCCACCTCTCGCGTGGCATGGTCCACTCTGCTCCACACTCACCTCGTAGTCCTCAGAGACCAGGTAGTCCTCGGTGATGTGCGGGCTGAGCAGTGTGTGGCCCACCAGGTAGATGAGGCCCAGGCTCAGGCGCCTGAGGGCAGGCACGGTGCTGGAAAGGAGGGTGCAGGTCACGTGCAGGGCCAGCACTTTGCCTCCTCAGTCACAGAGCCGGGCTCAGGTGGCGGCCACCCGAGCGGACCCTGTTTCGCCTGAACCACTGCGCCTACAGGAAAGGCAGGCAGGCCGGACGGGGCAGCAGCAGAAGCAGCTGTCACCACCTCCGCCTGCTTCCTGACTCCATGCTGAGGCTCAGGCTGGACGAGCGCTCAGCGGAGGAACTCTGCTCAGTTTTGAATTTTCTACCAATATATATTTGTGTACATTTTTTGGGGGGTGGGTACTGGGGATTGAACTCGGGTCCTTGCGGTTGCGAGGCAGGCAGCGGAACTGAGCTAAATTTCCGACCCCTTAGCTTTTTTTTTTTTTTTAAAGATGAGAAAGCAGGCTTTCAAAGCAGGGACAAAAGTACTTTGGGTAAAATCCTGTGGCATAAAAATGAAGTTTTACAAGCTGGGCACTGTGACACACGCCAGTGATCCTAGTGTTTGGTAGGCTGAGGCAGGAGAATAGTTCAAGGCCAGCCTGAGGCACATAGGGAGGCCCTGTCTCAAAAGACAGTCTCAGTGTTTGGAACATGGGCTGAAAAGCCCACCAGGGCCACAGGCAGGTACGGAGCACCCAGAGGATGATGTGGGGCCTGGCAGACTCAGTCCTCAGGCCAGGGCCAGGCTGAGGAAACCGCTTGAGAAGACTGCACTGCGCCGTGACCAGGGAGCGCGGTTACCTGTTCGGCATCTTCCCTGGCGAGTCTGTCAGCTTCCCCTGCACCAGCTTCATGTAGTGGTTCATGGAGAACTGGGGACCTACCAAGAAGGCCCCATAGAAGTAGGAGAAGCCGGCAACTTCCAGCAGGGAAGGGACTCCGCGGAAGGCGTATTTCTGTTGCTCAGTGGTCAGGGAGCTCTATGCCGAGGAGAGAACACAAGGCTCAGGACAGCCTCGCGTGTAGCCCGGGAGCCAGGCTGGGGCTGCTGCATGGGGCAGCTGCTGCTACTGACAGGGCCTTGTGTGTGGCTCTGGGCTCTGCAAGAGCCGGATGGCAGCAGGTGAGAAGCGTGGGTCTTCCCAGGGCTCCACATGGTTGTCAGGCGGGCCAAGTGAGGCCCTTCCCCGGGATCTGGGTCCGTTGCCTTCCTCCACCCTCGGGTTAGGCCGTGAGGCTCTGCAGGGAGCGGGTACTTACCTGATCCTTCCCTCCGTCAAAGTAGTCAACAGCCAAACCTGAGTGGAGAGGGGTGGGTAGGGAGGACACTGAGGGCTCCGCCTGCGTGCCAGGCTGGGAGCACTGGGCTGCGGGGTGCATGGGCCACCCCCACTCACCGATCAGTTTCAGCGTCAGGACGCAGTGCGGCATTGTCCACTTGATATCGTAGTTGCCCGTGGCTGTGTAATAATACCCAGCAAGAAGGTAGGTCTGGGGGGAGGGGGGACAGCATCACTGCCAGGTCTGCATTGCTCCTTGCTCGGAAATCCCTGGTATTCTCTCATTTTTCCTTTCTCCTGGTCTCATTGTGAAAAGCCTTAAGAAATTCCTACAAGTGGGGACATTAAGCCTACAGTGGGAAGAGACTGGCTCAGGTTTCTCTGCAAAATGAGGCTAAATTGAGATGAGAAGCTAGTCAGTCTCTCTGTCTCTCTCCCCCCTTGAACTCACAGTGACCCTCCTGCCTCAGCCTCCCGAGTGCTGGGATCACAGGTGCCTTGTTTATCCTTCCTGAGGCGAGCAGCAAGTCCCCTCACCCTCCGCAGAGAAACTCCGTCCCAGCTGTGCTAAGGGCCCCGCCAAAGACAGCATGCCGAGTGCCAGAGGAGGCTAGAAGGCAGGCATCCCGTTCCCCGCTTCTGCACCACAGCCCCTGCCTCCGGTGGGCTGTGAGCTGTGACCCGAGCCTGCAGGGAGGCATTTACCATCTGCAAGCAGAAGGTGGTGAGCACGGCGGTGACCGTGCGGCCCATCAGGCGGAGGATGAGGAACTGGAGTACAACACACAGCAAGGAGTGGTAGAGCTGGTACCCTGGAGGCGGGAGAGAGCACAGCTGAGCCCGGCCGTTATGTCCCCACGCTTCCCGAGGCTTCAGCAACAAGGATGGAGAAAATCCTTCAGCCAAGTGGCCGTGTGTGCCTGTTGTTCCTGCACGCCAGCGGGCTGAGGCAGGAGGATCGAGCTGAGTTCAGGCCAGCCTGATAGGAACTTTTCCCCAGGATTGTCTCGAGTTAGGAGGAAGGGATGCAAATTAACTGCATAAACATGGAGATTGTCAGGGTGTTGCTGGGTTTGAGCTGAGATGGATTCTCAGCGAGGACTGCTTGGAATTGTCCTTCAACTACAGCCACAGCTGAGAAATGATGCTCCTTTGGGGAGGGGCTGGGAGGGCAGGGATCTTCAAAGTGGCTTTATCATTTAATTAGTATCACTCTTTTTTTTTGTACTGGAGATCGAGCTCTGGCCCTCCGGACCCTGTGCTTGCAAGGCAGGTGGTGACACCACTGAGCTAAATCCCTGGCCCAAATTAGGATTATTCTTTTGAAACAGGGTCTTACTATGAAGTCCAAGCTGGAAGTTTATTTACTCTTGCAGTGCAGAGATGAAACCCAGGCCCTCACGCATGCCTGGCAGCTATCCTGCCTCTGAGCCACATCCCCTAGCCCTACATTTGCTGTTTCAGCTGATACATAAAAGGAAAAACTGTTATTAGCAGGGCATGCTGGCACACCTGTACCCCACACAATGGGAGGCTGAGGCAGGAAGATACCAAGTTTGAGCCCAGGTTGGGTGACTTAGCAAGACCCCGCCTCAAAATAAAAAATGAAAAGAGCTGGGGCTGTAGCTCTGGGTGAAGGCTGTGGCCTGGACCTCTGTCTCGCACGCACGCGCACACCGAGTATGTATGTGTGGGCTATCAAGTCATGTTTTGATCCGTGTATTTAGTTTTTAAAAATGTTTTTGCCTGACAGTGGGATGTACATAGAGGGTAAAGGAGAGCCGAGCTCTTCTGTCCATACACCCCTCTTTGCAAGCAGAGTACTGTAACTTCCCAAGCCACTGAATTCTCTCCAGGAAACTTCATCCAAGTTGGTTTTTCCCACGGCCCTCTGATCTCAGGGTCACTGCTCACTGAGTTACTCACCAAAGTTAAAGTAGGCAATGGAGAGGCCCGTGAAGGCGTGGAAGAGGTGGATGAGGTAGCTGTCTTTGTAGAAAAGGTAATGCCGGTAAAACAGAGCCAAGGGGTAACCTGGACAGGAGAGATGAGGTGGTCACTGGTGCCGCTGCAGCTTTGTTCTGGAGTTTATCTGGTCTGAAAGCTCAGCCCATAGAGAAACAAATCACATGGTTTATGGATGTTACCGGAGAAGGTAGCATAGCACCCCATGGACTGCACCCCAAAAGCTGTTTTGTGGAGACATTTAGAACTGGGGCTAGGGTGTGGCTCAGTGGTAGAGGGCTTGCTCAGCACATGCAAGGCCCTAGGTTCCATCCCCAGTACCTCTAAAAAAGCAACAGGGCCGGGCATTTAGCTCAGTGGTTCCGATGCCTGCCTGGCAAGCTCAAGGTCCCGAGTTTGATCCCCAGTACCAAGAAACAAACCAAAAAGACACAACAACAGAACAAATTTAGAACTGAAGATAACTGTTTGTTTTTTTAATTGAGGGATACAAAATTGGATCCTAGGACCAGGTTTCATTTATAGCTTATCAACTATTGTTAAGACTCTTTTGTTCTTTTAATTAAAAAAAAATGGCACAGGGCCGGGGATTTAGCTCAGTGGTTCTGGCGCCTGCCTCACAAGGGCAAGATCCTGAGTTCAATCCCTGGTACCTAAAAAAAAAAAAAATGACACAAACTATTGAGGATGAGCTGGGTGTGATGGCACACACCTGTAATCCCTGCACTCAGGCGGCTGAGGCAGGAGGACTGTCATGAGTTCCAGGCCAGCCTGAACTACATAGTGAGAGCCTGTCTCCAACTAAAAAAAAAAAAATTGAGATTCAGAGTGTGGTCTGAAAGCCATGTGCAAACTACAGGGCACCTCCAGCTGGCCACGTGCTGGTTTCACAGGCCAAGGCCTGCTCGCTGCAGGAGAAGCTGTCCCTACGCTGGGGCTCTGAGTCTCATGGCTGCCCTGGGACTCAGCTACATCTGGTGCAGAAGCCTGGCCCATGCACTCGGTGACATCCTGCTGCAGGTTGCACTGTGTTGGGAAGGACACCTCATCTCCTGTCACTGCTGCTGCCTAAGTAGTGGTTCTGAGTTGGTTAAGGTTTACAGTTCCAAGCTGGGTGTGGAATCCAGGTCTCACTGATGCCAGGAAAATGCTTACTGCTGAGCTACACCCCTACCCCAGCTGCTGGAGCTCTGGCTTGAAACTATACATGGCAGTCAGCTTATGTTGCCAATACAGTTTGAGTTTGGTTAACTGAAAAGCTAACAGCAGCGTCATGCAGAAATTCAGAGCTGCATCATTAGCTCTGAGGATAAGTGGGTGGATAATCGTGTGGTGTGCTGGCTATGGCTTCCAGGTCTTCCCTGTATACATTTAAAAAAAAACTTAGGGGGCTGGGGATTTAGCTCAGTGGTCTTACCGCCTGCTGCGCAAGTGCAAGGACCCGAGTTCGATATCCGGTACCAAAAAAAAAAGCAAAACAAAAACAAACTTAGGGCCAGATGGTGTGCTCAAGTATCTCCTGGGGTCTTCACTAACAGTGTGCCGACCGTCAGATCCATCAGATCCAGCTGGTGTGAGCACTTGCTGGTGTCCTTGGTGCTGCTCCTGGAATGGTCAGGCTCCTGGTCCAATGACAGCCTCCTCCCAACCACACGGGGTGGGGGGTGGGGGGTAGGAGCACCACTCCTCCACCCAACCCAAAATCTCCATGTAACTTTGTTTCTCCAATGCGACATCCCCTGCACATAACCCTCGACTCCCCAAAGCTCAACTCCTAGTAGCCTGCCATTGCCTGAAGCATTACTGATAATACCAACAGTTGATTAACTCATTTTTTGTATGCCAGGTGTGCTATATAAGGTGAGAAGTACCCAGCAACCTTGAGAGGTCACTGCATGGTTTTTAGTGGTGCTGGGATTGAACCATGCTAGGAAAATACTCTTAACACTGAGGCCCCCCTCCACCCCGTGTCCTCCAGGGAGGTCAGTTTTTACTCTGATATGCAATTTACTGGAGCAATGAAGGCTCCTAAGGTGATTAGTGAGGTCACATGGTGTTTTTAGTGGCTGCTTAGAACACTTGAGCTCACAATAGCAGGGGAGGTGGCTACAGAATGGCTGTTACACAGTACTGTGTGTACTAATGGTTTTCTCCAAATTTAAGTTTAGTTTTTTAAATGATACATATAAACATAAAAATTAAGCCAGGTGTGGTGGTCTATGCCTGCAATCCCAGGAAAGGAGGAGGCTGAGGCAGGAGGCTCATAAATTTGAGGTCAGCCAAGGGCAATTTACCAAAGCCTTGTCCTAAAATAAAAAAAGGCTGGGGATGTAGCTTAGTGGTTGAGCACTTGGCCAGCATACTTGAGGCCTGGGTTCAGTTTAGTCCCTAGTATCGCAAAAACAATACAAAAACCCCCCATTAAAAAGAAACAATACAAAAACCCATAAAGACTGTACATAATCACATTTTGATACATGTATTCATGTGTGATGGTGTTTAAATCTGGGTAAACATTCTTTAAAGATTATTTGTTTATGGTAAAAACATTTAAAATCCTTTCTTTTAGCTTTTCTTCTTTCTTTTTGGCAGTCTCGGTGCATATTTCAGGCTGCCCTGAATATGTAGCCCAGGCTGGCCTTCAACTCACAGATCCTTTGGTCTCAGGGTGCTGAGATTACTGCTGAGATTAAACTCATTTAGCTTTTTTACATATGAAAAACTTTTTTTTCTGTAGTGATGGAGACCAACCCAGGGCCTCCTCCTCTGAGCTACAGCCCCAGCCCTATTTTCAGACAGAGTCTTGCTAAATTGCTAAATCCCCCAGTTGGGACTCGAATCTGTGATCACCCCTCCTCACCCTCCCTCAGTGCTGAAATTACAGGTGTGTGCCAGCAAGCGCCACTAATTCTAAAAATAGATTTGTGTATGTTTTATGACAGTAAATGATAGGCCATTATCTCTGTATTTTTGTATCTATGACATGCATTTTTCTTTGTTTTTTTTTGGTACCGGGATTGAACTCGGGACCTTGCGCTTATGAGGCAGGTGGCACCACTGAGCTAAATCTCCGGTGCTGCATGCATTTTTCTTAAAAAACCAAAATCTGCACAAGTGGACCTGAGCCGTTCAGCTGCAGTCAATTTTATAAACCTCCTGAGTCTGCTGGCTCATTTACTGGATGGATGCTTAGCAGATGCCTCCTCCATGGCAGGGACTGGACAGTGTATTCTAGTTGGTGAGATGGGTGTGACCCTGTCAAGTCCCGCAGGCAATGGGGTGGGATCAGGTCTCCTGTATTTCCCCTGAGGGGACAACAAGCAATGCTGTGGACCCGCCCCGCCCCATCCAGTACCAGGAGACAGAGACCAGGGCCCAGGGCCTTTTTTTTGTTTTTGCTTTGCTGCTTCTTGTGAAGGAACACAAATGACAGAATAGGATGGGTCCTCTTTGTCTCTTAAGAGCTCTCATCAGTAAGTTCTGCGTAGCTGATGGTTTACCCCAAGCTCCAAACCCTCTGGCCATGTGCACTGCTTGGAAATGAAGAAATGTGGCCAACAACTCCCCTCCTCGAGTTGAACATAATCTAGTATCTATCATCCTGGTGCCCTGGGTCCTTGGCATCCAGATCAGTTGCGGTGGCTTTGTGACTTCAGGACACTGGGCCCTGTGTGGCCAACGCTGTCCTGACTTTGGAGGCCTCGTGTCCATTTGCTACCTGCTTTTCAGTCTACTTCCTTGCTATTCTTGGATCAATAGTCACTTCTGGGGCTGGGACTGAGCCTGCCAGGAATAGTTCCTCTTCCCTTTTCTAACTTACTGCAGGAACTTAACCAGGATTTTCATTTTACAGGAGTAAAAAAACACAAGCCAGCTGCCTGGGCCTGGGTGTGTTCTTTCCCGGTAGACCCAGCTTGGGGCCATCAGCTTGGCCACATGGGGCCCCGCTTGCCGTCTCCTGGCCTCGGGTGTGTTCTGGAGTGGAGGGCGTTTTGTCTACACAGGTAAAGAGCACTGCACACTGCAAACCTGGGACAGTAAGACAGAGGACTCGGGAGGACAAGGACAAGAGACAGCAGGCCAGAAGGAGAGCCTGAGGCGAGAAGGGGGGGGGCACAGCGGAGGAAGAAGAGCCACCGGGGAGCTACAGACAGCCCAGGGCTGCAAGAAAACCAAACCAACCCAATCAGCAACAACGAAATGCTCAAACTCAAACAAAGCCAGGCATGGTAGGGCACAGCCAGGACCCCAGCACTGGGGAAACCAGGAGGAGGAGCACGGGTCAGAGGCCAGCCCCAGTAGCATAATGGGACCCTGTCTCAAAACAAAAAACACGCCCCAAAACAGAACAACCAGTTCAGCCGGGCTTTGTGGCAGGCACGTGCCTGTGATGCCAGGCACTGGAGACAAGGGCTGGAAGATGCTAAGATCAGGGCCACCCTGGGCAGTTCACAAGATCATATCTCAAAAGGGCTGAGGATGTAGCTCAGGGGTACAGTGCCCTCAGGCTCGGTCCTCAGGAACACACGCACCCCTATTAAGTGTCTCTACTCGGAAGGGAGGCTACCTCACACGAGTGAGCCCAGGGTGTGACAGACTTAGGGCTCAAGTGCCTGGCGTGCAGGGCTAAATTCACACCTGACGATTCATTATACACCACCTCACGTCACGCCCTATGTTTTTATTTTGTGTTAGTTTTCTTACGTTCACAATCTCTGTTGCCTCCTGTCTGGATCTCCCCCAGCCCACTGCCTAGTGCACTTCATGTTTGGGCTGAGTGACCAAGATGCATTGATACTTCACAGCCGCTAGGTTGTGAGCAGCAGCTTCCTCAGGTAAGGTGGGGACATTAATGGTACCTGGCTCAGCAGGAGGTGTTTTAAGGACTAAAGGAGACAATGCAGGTATTGTTAGCAGCACAGTGCCTACAATGCTGCTCACTAAGTCCCACACACGGTCGCACAAGCCCTGCCGGAGGACGCCGCACAGTGCTGGACCTCATCAGGTGCCGGGATTCCCTCTGCCCACGTCGGTGGGAGGCTCCTGCTCTAAGTGTTGGTTCTGCCTTG